AGTGCCTCTAACTCGTCGCGACAAGCATCAATCCAACCTTTCTGTTGTTCAGAAGGCAACCGCTTGATATCGCGGAACGTCCAATCGCGAATTTTGGACGTGTCAGGTAGGTTCTCATTTGGGACCGCTTTCGACAGCAGCGCCGTGATGAGCTCTACTCCCCCTTCCCGGCATAGCTTCTCCATGCGTGCATCCTCGTCTAGATCATCAGAAGCACCCGCGTTCGAGGAATCTGGTTGCGAGCTAGGGCCGGGAACCCCTGCATCAGCACCGGTTGATGGTTGAGATTGGGAGCTACCCTTATCTTCACCAACATACCGCTTCCATCCTCTGCTGTTCTGAATGTCACGGACTATATCCGTAGGGGTACGCTTTTCCCCATAGACGTTTCCTGGACGTGTAGGCACATTCCGCTGGCGTGAAGACCTTCGAGGCTCAGGAGCTGGTGAAGCTTCCCGACTTGGTCGTGGAATTCTACTTCTACGAGTCCTCTGAGGTTCATCCCGACGCTCTGGCGGTGGGTCCTGACGATTATGACCGTCGTCACCATCATCATTTCCCTGTACGGGAGGTGGTGGAGCCGGATCAGATGGCATGGGAAATGGAAAAGGATTATCTCCATATAGCCAATCTTCTCCGTCTACCTGTGGTGGATCTTGTGGATTCACTGGGTCATCACGTTCTGGAAATTCCTCTCCAACAGGAACGTGGGGTGGTCGATTGCTGTCAGGACAGCGGGGGAACAACTCCTCGTCGAACAATGCCTTGGTGGCGACGAACGTGGAATTGTTTGTGCGCATGAACAAAAAATCCTTTCACACCATCAGGAATGCCCAAGTAGGTCATCAGCTCCGATTTGGGTGATAACTTGTTGGTGCGCTTCTCATCAGGGATAAAGACGTATGCAGCGCAACCAAAGACTCGGAGTTCGGAAACATCCGGTTTTTCCTTGTGAAGAGCTTCAAATGGAGTTTTCCATTTTAGACGCCTGATAGGTGTCATATTGTAGATCCGTGTCGCATGTTTGATAGCGAATTCCCAATAAGAATTAGGAAGACAGGCAGTGAAGCGCATGGCTTCTGCCTTATCCATGATCGTACGATTGAAGCGCTCGGCATGCCCATTCTGCTGGTGAGCATATGGAGCACCCTTCTCCACTAGAATTCCTTGTTCCGCGAGGAATTCTTCCATTCCCATCCCCATGAATTCTCCCCCATTGTCAATATGCCACTTTTTGATGGTGACATTGAACTGGTTCTTGACCATCGCAATGAAATTGCGCATAGCCTGCTTGGCATCGGATTTCTGCGCAAGGCATACTGTCCAGCCATAGGAGAGTGCTTCGTCGAAGAAGCTCATGAAGTAGCGGTACTTGTGATAAGACACCGTGGGAAATTGTTTGAGATCCGAGTGGATCAAATCAAACGGATTCTCCGCTCGTTTTTCGGAAGGCGGGAAGGCACGTTGGTGCATTTTCCCTTGCGCGCATCCTTTACACGGTCGGGTTTCCTCGGGAAATACTAGGTCTTCTGGAAAGCCCTTGGTATTCTTCTTTGCCTGACGTAAAACGTCTTTCGACGGATGTGCAAATCGCCGGTGCATGATCTCATAATCCACCTTGTAAATAGTGGACATGGATCGCACTGTCTCAGCCGTGCTCGGCTTTGACATCAGGAAGTACAAGGCTATGTCCTTCCCTAGAGTTCTAAACTCCATGATCGAGAGTGGGGACTTCCCTCGATGTAAGCTGATTCGCGATTCGTCTCCACGAACGCGAGATCCTCCTTTGAGTAAGGAGCCCAAAGACATGAGACGACCATGTAATCCTGGCACTAGGTACACTGGATATATCTGAGAAGTCACCATTGTCTTTTCTCCATGCCTTGTGACGTAATGATCGATGAAGGCTGTTCCTCGACCAATAAGGGCAACACGTGTGTTCTTATCAGCGGTCTGAGCAACAATAGGATCTGAGAGCTTCTCATATCCGACCAGATCACTAATCTCCGATGTCACATGGAGAGATGCACCTGAATCAAGAAGCCATAGAGGCCCTAATTCATGATGATGATGTTTCCCCTTACACTTAGAGCAGGCAGCAAAATCGGAGTGCACACAGAATAGATTGGTACAAAAATCATGCGAACGAATCATCAACGAATTAAGTACAGAACCCGGGGCGGCGGTGATTACGCGCTCTGGCTGTGAGCAACAATCAGAATTGTGCATGTGCCCAAGAAGGCAGGGTACTTGCCTTTCGGCGGAAGGAGCGTCCATCTCCTCCAGAAGGGTGTTGAAGTCGACGACCTCATCCCAATTGACGGGTTCAGCCTGGGCGAACTCGCTATCTCCAAACAGAAGATCAAGATCGTTCTGTTGGCCGGTGGCCATCTCGACGTCGGGGATCTCCTCGATACGACTGCGTTTGGCAGGAGGACCACCATCCAGCGTGTGATTCGAGCCGGAAGCAACCGGAGATGGAGAACGCATGATTGCGTCCTCGCGGAGCATTCCTTTCTCATTGACGATCTTGTCGAGAGTCCGGAAGCGTTCTGCGGTCACCGTCACATCCATCTTCTTGGCCAGCTCGAAGACCTTACGAGTAGGCTTCTGGAACTCGGTGTCAATAATCCCATTGTTGTTAACGGGAGACTTCTCTTGAACCGCGCGGATTTTGGGTCCATCGCGAGAGATGTGCGTGACATGCGAGATCGTCGGCGCAGGGATAGACGGAGTGAGCGAGGCGATCGAACCAATAGTGAGGGAGCCAGTGATCTCGGAGACTCCATGGACATGACTGTGATCAGCCTTGCCCTTGCCCTTGTTGTCCTTGTTCTTTCCACTGCGCTTGCCTCGACGGTTCTTCTTCTTTCCAACAGCCTTGTCACCCTTATCGGGTGCAGAGCCAGAGCCCTGTTGCTGATTGGTGAACGAAGGGTCATCGCGCTTGCGCTTGGTATTGAACTTGGCCACATGATTCTGGCTTTGAGACTGCTTCTGAGCGAAATGCGTCAAGAGAGCGTCACGAACCGCCGAGACTTTGATCTCGTCCTTGTCATAAGTCTGTAGAACAGTCTCCGTGACAGAGGGAATCCGGGCTATGTTGAGAATGATCATCGCTCTGAGGAACTCAGGGATGCTCAAAGACTCGTTCTCCAGGCGAGCGAACGCCGTAGTGATCACCAGCAGCTGTGGATCCGGGTGCAACCCCACGTTGTACTTGGCGTTCAACGCGGTTTGGAAGTACGCATATAGGTCGGCGCACTGAGCACCACCGTATTGGGTCTTCAGGTGCTCCCAGATCTTGGCAGCTGATACTATGTTGGCGGTTGGAATGTTGGCAATGACTCCCTCAGTCAGGCGCAACTTAATGCTGCCCTTTGCCCTGAGATCATCATGCTTCCATTGCTTGATCTCCGATGCGTTGGTCACAGAGCCATCCGTAGCCTTGACTTCGGTTGGCGCGGTCTCGGTCAGCACGTATGAGATCCCCTGATGCTCCAGATAGGACTCCATAGTTCCGGACCAGACAAGCCAGTGCTTTCCATCAAAGATGGAGACAGCATTGAAGATGTTGTTGGAGTTGGACGACATGTTGATCTGTGTGAGTGATCAGCATCAATCTAATCTGATAGATAAAATCAAAGATAAAGATGATCAGATCCTCATAGATCATAATCTCCTTCAGAGATCGATGCATCTGGATCAAGCGATGTAATCGCGATCCGGCATGGTTTCACCAGCGCTATGCAGCAGCTGAAGTGATGACAGATAGGCTAAAGACGCTTGCTCATCGTTGCAGCCAGTGACGGCGCATACAATGAATGTCGTGGCCATTGAGGCGCAGACATAGCTCTCGGGGCCCATAACCTGTTGAGCACTGGGGAGAGCGTCTAGCAACCCACCTGTGTGAGTTGAGAGCTTAGTGTGGGCACTATGCGGGAGTAGTCAAGAGACTTGTATTAAAGGGTAATAGAGCCCTCCTTATATATGATACAGGGGGCCGTTTGTGTCTATTTGGGACGAGTCGATATGACTCTAGATGACACGTGATGGAGTCATAGATATGTATCACGACATCCATCTTGACAGATGATATTTGATCAACATCGTTAATCCATCCCGTGTAGCTTTGGAGAGCCGCCGGCCCAAAGAGGGGACTAAAAATCTTTCTCTGTCTGAGAGACGCATCTGTCAACAAACGTGACTCCTGCCCATCCAGATAGCACTTACAGATTATGTTCCGCTCCCAATGTCTCAATCAAGCTCATAGGGCCAGTCTAAGGGCAGCGACATCAAACGGAGGGTGGTCCAGGTCAGGTCTCGGAAACGCACCAGACTGGTCAGTTGTTTGAGCGCGAGAGGTGAGTGACAGTACTTCCAGGAGTCCAACGCGTAGATATGTGCGATGGCTCGAGGGTCACAAGCTATCAGTCGACACGATCCAAAAGGGCCACGAATCTGGAAAATGGATCCGTATTCTTGAGACCATTTGCTATACAACTCGGCAGGACTTTGAGCAGCGGCGACCAGTTGGGTGTGACCAAAGACAAAGCTGGGAGACGGCGGCCCCCGCAGTTTTACTCGTCTGCTGTGCACGACGATCTTGTATACAGCGAAACAGAAAAACGCCCCGGCGGTGACGATGAATGTGTAGTCGGACATGGTTGGGGTTGAGATGGAAAGCGCACTGTTGTCGCTCCGTGCAGGCAGTGCGTGTTAACATCAGGTAGTCTGCCGTACGTGACAGGATGCTTCGCATGGGAAGAAAGTAGATTATCTTGGGTGACAGATTCGCGCCTTCATCTTTCCAAGGTTCATGCTAAAATAGGTCAGAGGATGAGCGGAGACCGTCGAGTGCGGAGTCTGAATCAAGAATCATTTGTGATCTGACGGCAATCCAACTAGATCTCGGTCCGGAATCAAAGTTCCATGCTTGAGATGCAGAACACGATTATATATGTCCATGCGGGATTGTTTCCCAGCTGCACCTCTTTTCCATGGCTCAGAGGATTCTCAATTCTGCCTTGGCTGTTATCGGCGTCTTTGCTGTGCGACAACTGTACCGTTTGTATGTATCTGCCAAACGACAACCCGGGCTGCCTCCTGGCCCTCCTACCTTGCCATTTATCGGGAATCTACATATCTTTCCTCGGGAACAACTCCAATACAAGTTTACGGAATGGGGTACGTCCTGATTTCCAACCGGCCACTTGGGGACTGCGCTGAGGGTGCTTGCTAGCCAAAGTCTACGGGGACATCTTCAGTCTGAAGGCTATGCACCTAACAGTCATCGTTCTCAACTCGCCCACGGCAGTGAAGGAGGTCATCAACAAGCGCGGCGCAACATCGTGTGACCGGCCGGCCAGCGCCATCTCGGATCTAATCACACCCGACAATCTCAATCTAGCTAGCGGCAGACACGGTGAGTGATTTTCCACTCATTCTGCCGGGAAATATTCATCCCTGGTCAGCCAATGACATCTGGAGAGCCCTGCGCAGGGCGGCCATGCACATGCTGCGCCCCGAGAATATGGACACATTCAAGCCGTTGCAGCGCGCAGAAGCTGCTCAGCTGATGTGGGAAATGAGTGTACGACCCGAGGTAAGCCACCAGTCAATCACTGCGATCACTTGTAACATGTAGTGGCCAGAATTTTTGGGAAGATATCGCTCGATTCACCACGTCATTTTTCATGGTGAGTGCGACATTTACCAACGATGAATTCGTCCACAATACACTACAGGGTGTTATTTACGGAGTGCGAGCGCCGAGAGCGTCTAGTTATGCTGCCAAAGCTTTCACTGAAACACAGACCGAGTTCATGTTGTGCATGGAAGTCGGCAAGGCACCCCCGGTTGATGTGTTTCCCATCCTCAAGGCTGTCCCAAAGCCATTTGCAAGGTGGAAACAACGTGCGCTCGATCTTCGAAAACGGCAGGAAGCGCTCTTCCAGTACCTGCTGAACAAAGTCGAAACTCGGATTCTCCGCGGAGACAGCAATGGTGCTTTCATGGAGGAAGCGTGCGCTCAGGCCAGCGAATGGGAGCTCACGCCGTCTTTGCTTCTGTTTGTGTATCTCCCAAGTTGTGCTACCTGAAGCCGTGCTGATTGTCGGCCAGGCATCTTGGCGGTGTTCTGCTCCAGGGCTCCGATACCTCATCAGCCATCATGCAGGATTTCATTCTCTTCCTCAGCTCGCATCCTCAAGTACAAAAGAAGGCCCAGGAAGAGATGGATGCTGTTGTCGGACTGGAGCAGCCACCGACATGGGATGATCTGGAGAAATTGCCCTATTTGCAAGCTTTCCTGGACGAATGCATGCGCTTCCGTCCAATTGGACCACTTGCACTGCCTCACGCCATGGCCGAAGATGACACGGTCAGTCATAATCTCGTCCTCCTTGGCGGCAAGTTCAATTCTTGGCAGTTTAATGGCATGCTCTTCCCAAAAGACGCTATTGTCTTCATCAATTTATGTATCAACGTTTTGTTGTCTAGGGTCTTGAACACTCATTTTTCGATAGGGGCAATCTTCCACGATGAGCGCTTTTATGAGGAGCCCTCCGCGTTCAGGCCCGAACGATTCCTCAATAATCGGCTCGGGACAAAACCGGGGATCGTCGATGATCCTGCTCGCCGCGACACGTTAGTTTTTGGGGGCGGTCAACGCATTTGCCCTGGCTCTTACACTGGGAGAGCCGGTCTGGTATGTCTGCTCTTTGCATTGGATTTCACAGACTGACGAGTTCCAGGAAATCAAGTCAGTCGGGTCACGTACATACATTGGTCAACTAATCGGAGTTTTAGTCTGGCCAACTTTATCTGGGCGTTCGACTTCAGTCCTGGCCTCTCTCCGTCAGGCACGCCTATCGAACACGATCTCTGGGCGTATACCAACGGTGTCAATCTGGCCCCTTTGCCCTTCAAAGCCACCATCCGAGTGCGCTCTCCCGAGAAAATGGCGATCATCCGCCGTCACTTCGTCGAACAACGGTCTCTGTTGGTACCTTTTGAGCGCGACCTGGATGCCGAAGACCAGGAGTACATTAGAAATTTTCTACCTCAGTCTTGATTGTATTTTATGATACTACTATCTCGTCTGCAAAAAATCGCGCTCGCTGCAACCATCACGGTCACGGGATTTTGACAGGAACAGAACGCCTCCCGACCTGGATTCCTCCCGCGATCTGGCATAGCGGACCTTGTAGAGAAATACATCGCAAACTACAGGCCACTTGAAATTGTCAGCAAGACACCCAATCCTTGAGCCCAGGCACAGTAAGCTGCCAACTGAGAGACCGTCTCCCACCACATTGCATCCGCCCTCTTTCATCTTACTGTCATCAGGTGAATGCCCATCGCCCCGACGATCAACAAAACAAGACGTTCGTCGCCTGCGAATAATATCCAATCCGAGGGACGCTGACTTCGTGCAAGGCAGTTGTAAGAGAAAAGCAAGTTGAACGAGAGTAGTTAATAGACTGGGAATAGTACATGCAGTATTCGAAGCAAATCCGTATCAAGCCATCTTATTCAAACCTCTTGATTCTGGGATCCCCACGAGCGTTCCTTGAACTCGGAAAGCTGGCCAGTGCTCTCGTCCTGAGTGTGAGGCGAACGCGCAAATTGGATGCTTTGGAGGGTACCGGAAGCAGGCACAGAGTTCGATGATGCATAGTATGTCGCGTGCTTTCCTTCGAATGCAAGCCGGAGACCGATGCGGACAAAGATGGAAAAAGGAACCAGGGCCTGCAGTGAGAAGCATGAAAACACGTTTTTTGCTAGAAAGCAGCAGTGCATACACAAAGTTGGCCGAGAATGGCCAGAACCAGTTGGGCTGCAGCTCCGTGAGCTGTTTGCCAGACAGCCACGAAGATGATCTCCCCAGCTGCCATTGCAGCACCTACAGTATCACAGACATGATCAGCCGTTTGAGATGGGAGTCACAAAGAAAAACGTACCGGACTCGACCAATGTCCAGATCAGACTGGAGTATCGTGACGCCTTCCTGTCCGAAAGCTGGCCGATGGAGCGCGTGGCGGTGTAGATCTTGAATGCGAGAAGGAGAGTGACCAGAAGTTGGGTTGCTGCCGTCAAGGAGAAGCCTGCCGTCACCACCTGTGACACGACACTTGTTTTACCGGCCTTTGTTGCCTTCTGCTGCGCAATGATTTTCGCTGGATTGATGAACGTGACCAGTCCTCCGTACTGCGTGCATCCTGAGCTTTGCATGAGATTAACAGGACGAGACACCCGAGGAGAGCGAACCTTCTGCCGCAAAGGCCAGAAGCAGAGGAAGGATAGTGATTTGCCAGTTGTTGCCGTATACTACGTAGAGGCGCCATATCTGGTCACATTTGTCAATCGCGGGTGAATTGAGCAACAGACAAACGCACAAGAACAAGGTCCCCGATCAGGTTCTGGAAAGTGGTCAAACAAGCGCCCAATAAACTCAAACAAGAGACGAACATTCCAGCCGTAGAATTGTTGCTGCAGGGCCGTAAAGATTCCGAGCGGAGAGTCCCACTTGGTGACAGTCAAGGTGACCGAGTTCTGGATGGGTGCCAAAAATGCATGAATCCCGGCTCCGAATGCAACCCCAATGTGCGCGCTGCACAAGGCAAATTGGAGACAGATCGTGAATAGCAGGAAACTTGGTTATCATCAGCCATTCATTATATTCTACCAGGAGACAGATCACACACCGCGGAACAGGATCACCCCGGTCGCGCTTTCGCGAGAGCACGACGACGCAGAGAATAAACATCACAACGCTAGAGAGGGGTTCATGCAACAACATAACTCGAAAAAGACGACGAACTTGATTCCTATGGACGGTGATTAGCAACTGTAACGTTTAGGTGAACTCGTGTCCTCTACCATAGAGTACGGAGGCGGCCCAGAGAGGGACGAGCCCACTGAGGATGGAGGGGAGATCGCCCGTCATGAGAGTGCTGTGTGTCAATATTCCTGAGCAGCGAGCCTGGACTGCTTGTCAACTCCGGAGAGTATTTAAGCAAGTCTCTTCAAGTTTCAGACATCCCCAGAGATGGCAGGCAGCGACCCGAATTGAGAGTGAGAATGGACCCAAGCGGGAGAGATGAAAATGACGTTCAATCAAAGATGTATGTGAAGCACACGCCACTATACAGCGTGCTCAGCTAGAACATATCAGGTATTGAAATGCACACCGGTGAGTAGCTTGCGACTAGATCGGGTAGGGCGGGAAGATCAGGTAGAAGAGGATGGATGTCCCATCCAATGAGAGTCACAGCCGCTGTGCGCTAACCAACAACAAAATCTTGCAACATTGAATTCTAGATCTCTTTCCGGACAGTTTTCCAGTCCTAGATCAAGCACCAGGTTGTCAGAGTCTCCATAGGGTCTGATGGTGCACGTCCAGGTCGGATGACTTGGGAGCCGGAACAGTCTGAAGCAGAAGGTATAATGTCGAACAAGTTCCTGTCACGCTCAAGGTAACGCGGCAGTCGATCAGTCTCGATCAGCCTTGCGGTCCAACACGAGTGTCTTCCACGAAAGTCCTTCGCGGCTACACGATACGACAAGACGGCACGTAATCTTTTTGCACTCTCATATCCACCAATATCTTCCTGGAACTTGAACTCAGTGATGGATCAATCCGTTGTCTACAGTTGATTTCTAGCCGTCCCTCCCACCGCGGATGTTTCACGGCCTACATATCGTGGTAGGCTCTCCATCTTTTTTGGCTGGTCCTTCGAAAGCGGACCTAATCGCGTTTCTGTGTGTCATATATCGGCCACCGATATCGGTCAAATCTTCGAAGCGCTCACGACGGACCCCGGAAACTGCACTTCGCCGCGCGATGGCCCTGTAAGTTCACTGCGAGGAGTGCCCTCCCACAGCAGCGGGAGTTCCTGCTGTTGGCGTTCAACATGCTGCATATTTAGGCCTCTGCAAGATCAGTGCACCTACGACTTGGAGCATCGATGGGCTCGCAGATCTCGCTATATGCTTCACCCCCCGATACGACACGAACGGCAGTGTTGAAATTCCTGGATGGCATAGCGCAGCCGCTCCCTCCTCGCACTCCGATCGAGAAAAGTCTCTTCAAGGACAGCTGCGCTGCCGCAGTTCAGCGGGGCTGGCCCGCCGACACGGCTCCAAAATACATGGGAGGGGGTGTGGCGATGAGCTCGACCGGATACGCGCACTTGGACAACAATTCTACTCGCATTCTAATCGCCGTGTACACTGCGTGTGGGATATACCTGGACGACGTCTATCAGCACAACACCACCGGTGTAAGCGAATTCAACCAGCGCTTCTTCGAGCACGTCCCTCAAGCAGATCCTGTGCTTGACTGTTTTGCTCAAATTCTGCTCGAGATTGGAGATCACTTTGACCGAGTCGTCGCTAATATCATTGTGACATCGACGCTCAACGCGGTGACGGCTCTCACGCTAGAGTAGGTGCAAGCCGATTCTTTGCACGACACCGGTCTGATCTCGAGCGGCAGGGCCAGGACCCAGGGCATGGCTGTAAGATGATCTTGCGTGTCTGGCAGAACGAGCTGACGCTGTGCAGATAAGCCCCAGCGCGATTGGCTATCCCACATTTTCACGCGTCATGTCGGGGGCTTCAGAAGCCTACTCGCTGTTCATCTTCCCCCGGAGTTTTGTTCTGCCCCAATTCATTCAGACCCTCCAGCAGCTCATGACATTCATCAATAACGGAAAGTGCGTTGTCCTACCATCGCTTTACGTGTGGAATCTGACCGGCTCGTCGTGCACAGCGACATTCTCTCCTTCCACAAAGAAGAATCCGACGGCGAGACTGTCAACCGGGTTTCATTTCTTGCTCAACAAAGCGGCAAAACCAAGCAGACTGTGCTCGTCGAACTTGTCGCTGACGCAATTCAAGCCCACCGGAATGTTCTGGATGCCCTCGCCTCGACTCCCGCAGCGCAGAATGTGTTTCAAGCGTTTGTGGCGGGCTACATTGGGTTCCATGTTTCTGCAGGTAGATATCGTCTAGAAGAATTAGCGTTGTCCGTATAGGGTGCAGTGATCAACCCGCAGCCCCCGTTATTTATTGCAGCCAGTAGCTGGCCAGATCCTCAGCTCGTCCAGTTCTAAGAAAGAACAAGAGAGAAGCCACTGAGCTTCAGTCGGGCCGGTCGAATGGGAATGCCTTCGATCTTATCTAATCTCAATTATCTGGGTTCACTTGATCGAATTCTTCAGTGCCAGATCGTATGACAAATCAGTCAATCCGGCATTACCGCGCGCATGTGCGGAGGACGATTCGACTAGTCTCACGATTTCCGCGCCTTGAGTAAGCCACCTAGTACGTTTCCAGCCAATCCGGCTAGCCCTCCGCGAACCAACTGGACCGCTTGTACGGTAGTGCCCAAGGCCTCCACTCCTTTGGCGGCGACTTCCCATAAAGCAGTATTATCGACCCTCTTCCCGCTCGCTTCCCACATGAGAGCTGTTTTGATCGAGTCCAACTCGTTGACAACCTCGAGCCCAACCGAGCGCGCCAAGACAACCGGTTCGAACGACGTCGAGTAGATTTTGTGCAGCTTGTCCATGGCAGACATCATCGTGTGATTGGCCAGGTAACGTTCGCGAGAATATGGGAGCAGCGCCGTCCTCGAGCCTAGAATTCAAGTGAGTGAGCAAGGCAAGGCCTGAAGCGTGCGTGGGGGCACACTCACCGACGTCACCGCCCTGCAACAAGGTGTTCTCGATGCAGCGTGCGAGACATTCAACATCAGCCAGCCCAAGATTGAGGCCCTGTCCGGCAAGAGGGTGGACTGTATGCGCTGCATCGCCAACCAGCACAGTGCGCGAGCCTTCTCCTTCTCCCAGATACGAGTCCGTGTGGTTGAATCGCAATGGGAACGACGCAGCACTACCTGGCTGGAGTGATGTCACAAGAGGAGGAACGAGTTCGGCCTCTGCAGGTGGAATGCCCTGGGTCGAGAGCGTGTTGGCAGACGCGTAGGCTGATGTGTTGTCCAGTCCATGAGACCGTTCTCTGAATAGAATCTCTGCGGTTATCTGCTCGGGAGACACAGATCCACCCGAGCCCAGTATCACTTCATTCAGGTACTTCATTGACACGTCTGGTAATCGAAAAGCAGCGTTGATCATGCATCGAAGGACTTCTGGGTCCGAGGCAAGAAGCGCCTTGGCGAGGGATGGCTTGGTCGACCATACCAAAGAAGAAGCTGTCGGAGACAAAGGTAGAAACGCGATCGGGCCAGTGGGAAGGAAGCGCTGGTAGGCTGTGGTGTTCGGGCCCATGAACGCCCCCCGCGGCGCATGGACCATCGTCGCCACGATGGCTTGCGTGTCATAGCTCCAGCCGAAGGAAGTAATCTTGGCGAAACTCCGCACCGGAGAGTTGAATCCATCGGCACCGACCTAGGCCAGATGAGATTGAAACCACATGGAGGACAAGGCACGCACCAGAAGCCTAGACCGGAGAATGCGCCCATTGTCCAACTTTACCAAAGGCCAGCCACTGGATTCTTCTCCGACGGTGATATCTTGAACCTTGGTCTGGTCCAGAAGTTGAACGTGAGGGACATCAGCAAGGTGCCTTAGCAGTCCGCGTTGTAGGTTCAAATTCTCGGTCATTCGCGCCATCCCAGAACCTAGACCAAGAGACGAGGCAGAAAACTGGATCCGTGCATCTGACACTCCATCCCAGACCTGGTTGTGGTCAGGCTTGGATCAAAGTGGACAATCAACAAATACCTGCATTTCTTGAACAGGAGCTGTCCGAGTTTGGTCTACGTGATCCCATGCACTAGTCTCTGACCTGGCTTGAGTATATGGAGAATGATATGAGAAACTCTCCCCCACCTTTCAGGAATGATTGAGACCTGTATGTGAGGGAGCTTGCACGATTGGAGAACGTCCCGTCCTCGAGAGCCCAATCCCGGACTTTTGATAGGTCCCCTGCCTCAACCAAAGCAACACGCAGCGATTCACGGACAATTTGTGATGATCCTGGAAAAGAGTCGGTTGCGGGAAAGCATAGTCCTCGGCCGCGTACCGAGGGCACTGGCCAGAGCAAGACCAACGGGTCCTCCGCCAACGATGACAACATCCCATTCTTCGGGAGCAGAAGCGGTAGAAGAGATATGCGCGGAGCGCTTGGCCAGTTGCACAAACTGGCCGGCAGCGCGTGAGCAAGCTTTGGGAGTGGTGGAGAGACGAAGCATTCGAGAGTCACGTGAACCGACTTCCGTCCCGAAACGGAACGACAACTTTCGCAACGGCACTGCTTCAAGCGGCATAGCTGCGCCCTCATTCTTCTCTTCTCGGACAGGACAGCAGGCAGAGGCCTTTCCCCTGCACTTCCACTCGAACAGCAATGGCTGCGGCTCCGGTATCAGCAGCGCAGGCCATTGGGGAGTACTTGCAATCCCCCGACGACCTCGTCAAGATCTCTGCTTTTCGTAAGAAGCTCGAGAAGGAGAAAGCGTCGATTGATGCGCGACTGAAAAGCGGTATGAAAGAGCAACTTCAAGCCACGCGGGAGGGTTTACGCAAATTGTTGGGCACGAGGAATAATGTGCAAGCGGTGAAGGATGAGATGGCTGCTATCGACAGCCAGTGTGCCGATCCGGCCAATGTAGTCGCCACTTTCGACCAAATTAGTCGTGTGCGTCCTTATCTTTGGACTAACTGATGTTTCTGTTTCTCATGCATGCTTCTAGGTATCTATGGTGCATCGCAATTTCGAGCAAACGGAGGAGACGGTGAACAACCTGTTGGCGATGAACGCCAAACTCGACGATCTTGAAGACATGTTGGAGAATGACAGCCAAGATATTCTAGGACCTGCTCCCAATCTCCTCGTCATTCACTATCTCCTCAACCAGCTTGAGGCGTTCCGGAATCAAACCATGCACCAGGCCAAGAAAGCTTCTGCAAAGTCACGGAACACGTTAGCCAGGTACTTTGAGCGACTGAACAACGTGATTGAGGCATTCGACACCTATGTCATTGCATTGGCCGGAAACACGCTCGAGCTGGTCCGAGCAGGACATCCCGATGTTATTGTGAAGCTGATCAAGATTGCGGAGGTTGAGGGCCGTGAAGACGAAAAGGTGCGTCAATCTATCCTTTGGATAAAATTGTTTGCCGATGTGCCCAATTCAGGCCATAGCCATCCGACTGGTCAAGAAGGCTGCGAAGCTCGACGCAGCGTCCAAGTTCAAATCACTCCAGGCCAACGCGCGAGTGATCAAGCATTACCGATCCAAGTTCATGAAATCGATTACGGAGTCAATCAAGCTCAAATTCGAAGAGGCGTACAAGCAAGACGAGCAAGATCCGACGCAATTCCTCAACTCCCTTGGATGGATGTATCAGGACATCATCCGAATGGAGTCGGATGTCGTGCCCTGTTTTCCGCCCGAGTATGAGATCTATTCTCTTTATGTGCGGGAATACCACAAGGCCTTGAACACCACTATCAAGCAGCTGGTGGCATCCGAGCCAGGCGCGAGCGTGCTGCTGACGCTCTTCGAATGGCTGAAAGAGTACAAGAAAGACATGAAAGAACTCGGTGTTCCTCCGGAGCTTCTCGAGCCGCCTTTGTTGGACGGCAAGGAGCAGTCGCTCATCGAGGATTACCTGATGGTGATCATCCAGAAGCTCGACGAATGGTCTGCCAATTTGATGAAGACGGAGGTGGAGGAGTTCATCGCACGCCGAGAACAGCCGGAGATTGACGCAGACGGCCTTTACGGGTCGCAAGGTGGTGCAGCGATCCTGTTCCAGATGGTCAACCAGCAGGTCGATCTTGCAACGGAGAGTGGCCAGGGTGCCATCTTGGCGCGGGTCGTCAGCGAGACGAATCGGGTGATGCGAGGCATGCAGGAGCAATGGGTCAAGGTTATAGAATCCGAGGCAAAGAAAGCGGCCGAGAAGCCTGAGGAAGCAGCTCCTGGTCTGGTGGAGTACGTCATCGCTCTCGCCAACGACCAAATCAAGTCCGCCGACTATACCGAAGCCCTACTGGCTCGCTTGGAGCCACTAGTGTCAGAGAAGTACCGCGTACAGATCAACGAGCGTTTGAACGATGCTATCGACGGGTACTTGGACGTAGCCAAGAAATGCACCCAAACGCTGATCGACTCTATCTTCAATGATCTGAAGACAGCGACGAAGACCTTGTTCCAGGCGGCTTGGTACGAAGGGTCTATGCGAGCGATAGTAGAAACGATGCGCGATTACATGGCCGACTACCAGCAGTTCCTGAACTCGTCCCTACTTGAATTGCTCGTTGAAGATCTCCTGGACGCCTTCCTAGTCATGTATCTGACCGCCCTGGCCAACTCTCCCAAGATGAAGATGCCCGCCGCCACTGAGAGGATCAGAGAGGATGTCAGCATTACGTTCACATTCTTCACTGGCTTCAAACCTGCCCGGGAGCTCGAGTCATACTTTGACGTTGTCGAGAAGGTCCTCGGTCTGCTGGAAGCCTCCAAAGACCTTGTTTTCCTGTCGTATTGGCCGTTCGCTCGCGTCCATGGCCCCAATCTAACATTCGTCGAATGTCTGATGAAGGCTCGGGGCGACCTCGATCGGTCAGGGGCAAACGATATCATGGACAGCATCAAGAAGAAGGTCAAAGACGAGGGCATAACAGATCGTACGTGTAGTCTCTATGTCCCCTTGCTTGTTTGCTCATCTATGTTCCAGCGCCGGAACCAACCATCATGAAGAAGATTGCGATCCAGAATTCGTTCTCGAGGTTCCTGAATCGTTAGAAGGGTGATTGGACAGATGTAATTATTAACACTTGTATTGCTACGCATTGTAATCTACACACGACATACATTCTTGGAACTACCATGGCATTAGCCCGCACAGCGAGGCTACTACTATTATACAATTATGTGGGCAAAATATCGTATACATACATACATACAATCGAATGCACACAAGCAGATCATGCCGCCGGACTGAAGGGCAATTTGTCAAGAATGGAGACAAAGGCAGCAGCAGCTTGAATGGAATGGGAGGTGAGGTCTCCGTTCACAGCGCCTGCGACACACTCGGAGAGATTGAGGGCTTTCGCGACGTCGCCTGAAGATGGGGACTCAGTGGGTATATCGAATGAAGCATTCATCATGAACGCACAATTAGGCTTGGGAGCTCCGAATCCACATCCACCGTCCTGCGCTCGCTCTTGTGCGATTGCAGGTCCGACACATGTCCCGGCCTTGAACGAGCAGCAGCCCTGCTGGCACTGGTGGGGCGTTTTAGCTCTTGCTCACGATCAAAAACGGCGCGGGAATACACACATCTGAGTCCGCGGCACATGTGGCCGTCACGAAACCAAGGGATGACTGGCCAGCTGCAAGAGCAGATATCGTCTTGTCGGCGCTGGCACCGCCGGTCGCGGTTGACTTCGAGGTCGAGGTCTTGGAAGGTTTGGTGGCAGTCGCGGTAGCAGCATTGCCGGAGCCCTTAGTGATGGGCGTGAACTTAAAGCCGTCGAGCTTCGCGACGAAAGCAGCCGCCGATTGGATGTCCGAGTTGGAGAGGTCGTCGTTGACTGCTCCGGCAACACAATCCCCGAGCTTCAAAGCCGCCGCGACGTTGCCTGGAGTCGTTCAGCGTCATTCTTCGCGTCTTTAAGAGTATCACTCACAGTTCGGCACTTTGTTCCCGTGGCCACATCCTCCATCTCGAGTCTGTGCGATACCGGGGCCAGCGCACTTGCCTGTGTCAAAGGCACAGCATCCTTGCTGACAATCTGAATCAATGTTGCATGGCCCAGTGACGAATTGGTTGCCGCGGCGTTGCAGCGAGTAACGGGAGGGGAGCTCGTGTGCAGTGGTGAGAGCTAAACAATGATGCCAAGGTCAGTCGGGAATGTCGCACAAGCGATGTTGATGGATCCACGCACCAATATACAGAGCGATGGAAGCAGTAGCGATACAGAACTTCATGATGTTAATGAGGGTTGTTGGTTGATACAATCAGGGATATGCAGATATGACTTTGTCGAAAAGTGGGCGCTGCTGCGAGTAAAGAGGTCGTGTCGTGAGGGAGAGAGAACCAGTTCTTGGGTGTTTAGGGGTTGGGGACCGGTTTATATAGGACGGGACTCGAGCTGAAACAATAGAAAGCTTGAGCATCTGGGATGTTGCCTGATTCGAACAAGTGGTAGGCGAACCTTTATGATGCTATGTGGCGTAGACTCGGCGGCGTAAGTTGCTCGTCAAAGGTCGTCAATGGGAGATACAGGTGAGAGAACTGTTCGAGGAGGTGGCTTGTTTGACCGGAACACCCATCCAGTCGCCGCTCTTATACATGAGGGCCTGCCATTCGAGAACAATAGGCTATTGTTCTTTGTTTACACTTCCTTTGCGTAACAAGGAGCTTTGTCCGAGTCTGAAAAAAGGCGTGACCTGGACCCATTGTAGAGCCTTCCATTCTCCCGCCAGGCGCATTGTGCCGCGTCGAGGACCCAATTGTACTTACTGAAAACGGTGATCAAGGAAAGTAGATCGCGAGTATTTGTGATCACGTGCTTCCAATCTACACTCACATACATTCTACATATTTGAGACATAATTGTTATTAGGACCAGATTAGTCCTGTTTCGGTTTCGAACTAGCATGTCCCGCAGTGCCAACAGAGCGGTCAGGCAGGACAGCGGTGATTTCATCGATCTTGCGGAACTGCCAGGGGAAGCGCGAAGGATAGAGGAAAGGCCGCAGATCGAATCCTGGGCACTATGTCAACGCAATTCCTCACAGGAAATAATCAATTCACTATTATCATCCGGGCTGTATGATTCCTGCAAGCCGTGAATGGTTAGTCAGCCATTCAGGACACGTGATTAGACGCACAGCGTGGTAGGACGGAGTGAGGGTCGTCATCTTGTGCCTGTTCCTAGCGTGCTCAAAAAAGAACAGCTTGACTTTGTCCGCGATCTGATGGTGACTGGATGAGAAGTCTGGTGATCAGAACTCGACACGACCAACTTGTTGCGGAGACAGGAACGATCCCCATTCATGGATCAGCTTCGTAAACATGCTGTACGGACCGCATTTCTCCACTTTCCGCAAGCGTCCGAAGACCGAAAGTTCGTCGTAAGTCATGCCCATGTCGGCTTCGTCAGCTTGGACATAGTTCTCTGTGATGGGCTCCAGTTCTGCAGTCGGAGTCGCGTTGAGGAAGTTGGACAGAATGGGGAGATCAAAGTTCGTTTCGGCATAGGCGATGAATTTCTTGAGATCCGTCTTACTGATTCCACCGATGGGGTTGATGTCGGCTGGGGGACGGGCTCAGCGAAAAGTAGCCAGGTCTGACTCCTGCATACCCGAGGAGCAATCGTATTTGGTCAGATATCCGCGAAGGCTGTGGGGTCGGTGGGTGAGCCCAGTGTAGCAGAAGATGAATTCCGCACCTTTCATCAACATTCGCACTTCCCAGGACGAGCAGGCCGCCGACCTTCCCACGCACCCAGGGCAAGAGCTGAGCAAACATATATGCCATGACCATGCGCAGTCTTGCCTGTGCTCGGATGTGCTCAGCAATCATCAACTCTGCTAATTGAATCAAACCTGGATGTTCTGCAACGCCAGATTCTCAGCAGCAGTTCCTCCATGAGCGCGGAAACGAGGTCGTGCATTGGTCACTAGACCAAACAAGTTCCGCACAGCGGTTACGATCGAGTCCATGTTCATGTCAACGTGATAACTGCCGATGGCCTCCGCGAGCTGCTTCGCGCGGAGGCGCGTTTCAGCACTCGAGTTTTCGGTACCCATGTAGCATGTGTGAAAGACCCGATTGGTGAATTCGCGTGGATCAGTGGGAAGGTATTTGGAGTCTTCTAGCTCTCCAGAGATACGACGAGCGTCGGAGATTACTTGCTGATCTGCAAGAAATTCAGTGCTGAGCTAAGGGCGTGACCGACTGCCACCGACTCCCACTGCGCGCTGCATCTGCAACGAGTCGAGACATGGAGTATACGATAACCGCAGTAGCACAACTGTCGATCCCTCCACTCAAGGGAACAAAGTAACCCTGGGTGCGAGAACGACGCAGATAGTCCCATAGCCAACACGCTGGACCAAGCCTTCAACGATGTCAGCAAAAAGAAACGACCCGAACAGCTAGGCCCTACGCGATTTCCTCCTCGGGGATATGGTATTTCACTTCGTAGGGGCGGGAATAAGTGAGAAGTCCGGCCATATCCTCCTCAGCGACGATGTCGAATTTCCCAGACGTCAGCGCAAAGTCGACTTCGACCCGATGGTAACGTTCAGCGCTTGCTGCTTGCATGCTGCGGCTACTTTTTGCACGGTGCGCCCGGACGTCTTCGATATCAATCGTCGCGCTGATGACTTCGACATCGTTCAGAGAGAATTGCGAGCCTTGCGCAATGATGCGACCGTTCACAGCGATCATAGCACAGCCATCATAATAGAGGCGATCTCCGTCGCATCCTTGTTGGTTCGCATACAGATATACCCCACCAAGCTGCCAGGGAAGGTGTGACCACTGATCTGATCACAGAGCGGGCTGCTTACCTTCAGTGTCGCCTCCTTTATGAGTTCAACCCGGGTGTAAAGCTTGCGCAGTTCGTGGTGGCTTCCGCTCGAGTTGGTGAAGATCTCAACGCCGTCCAGTCCCATGAGGATGTGTGGACTGGGAGCATGATATGAGACATGGAAAGCTACACTTTCAAGCATACCTTGCTGGTGTAAATAACTCCTCGCACAGTTCGATTCCGATACAGGTATCCTGCGTGCTGATCACAGCGTCTCCAAACGGAACCTTGGTCTGAGAGCATGATCAGAAACAAACCCGGGATCTGGATTCCACGCTCGCCTGTCCCGTCAGGACCTGGATGATCCGAGGCAGATAGTGGTCCTCCCATTGACGATGCTTGGTCCACGGCGTGAAGTAACGAAGCTCACGATAGTTTCCATCGTTTGCCATCCACATCTTCGGTCGGATGAGAAGGATCTGGCGGTTGTGTATGATGATGCGGCAGTTGTATATGACGTTCTTGTGCACCACCGGCCTGAAAGCGCGTCGGACGTGAAAAAAGGTTGGCAACATATGCACTCACATCCCTAGATCACATACGATACCTTGGGCTTCTTCAGAAGCCAGGATTTTGGCAAGCACCTCCCATGAATGCAGGACCGTGTCGCCTGACTCGACCGTGAGCCCGTGGATACGTTAAAGCAGTTGTGATCACCTTCTAGGAAGTGATCCAAGCAGCCGTATCCGCTGCGTCCTAGTGAGAGGTGGTCCGTGCAAGAAACCATGATGAGCGCACGGGATCTCTAGCTCTGGTCCGACTCGGAGTGTCGCTCCTCGCCCCTTCGCAATTGCGATACTCTCGAGGATGCGCTCCATATTACCCTGCACATATATGAGTCTAGAAACACACAAGTTCATATCCACAAACTTGGAAATCGAGGGCCCATTGATTGAGCGAACTATAAGCAGCTCAAGAGCCCGTGGAAAGCAGTGGAGGTATGGATTTACCATCTAGGAGATAAATGAGATGCGGCGAGACTGGATCGTGTAATTTTACGTTGCCAGCGTAATAAGATGTCCCATCGTTCAGTGGATGCACTGTAGATGAAGGTGATGCCTCTGTGACTGAGTCGACGCTGCAGATCTATCGGATCAATCCAATTGTGAATGCGGCCAGTAGATACGATCACGTGCATTATGGCGTTCGCCGCGGCCTCCGGAATCTCTTATCGACGCTTCTGGTCTGTGAGCTAATTGTAGGCTGCTAAGGCGTGACGGGAACCGAACTCTCTCTTCTCGTCTTCCACCATGTCTGAGAAGCATCGTTCTGCCGTCGACCTCTCCCAGTAAGCATCATCCGACGGCATGCATGGTCAGGCTTGAATGTTAACCACAGTCACCTATCTGATATCGCGCGCGGCCTGGGGTCGCGTGTCGAGCTTGGTGGTCCGGCGCAGCCAGGTAACATAAACTTGGACGGAGGTGTTCCCGAGTAAAGTGCACCTTGACGTGTCAACAGTTGAACCTGATTTCGTGTCTGAACAGCGTAGAATATCTCCCCATCGAGTCGATAACAGTCGAGTATCTCAAGCCCGCTGCATTTCCTCTCGCGCCGACCGATGCCCTGCCGCATGCCTCTGGTATGTTCGGATGGCTGTCGAACATCTTCTCCGGAAAAGCCAGCAAGACGACCGAAGCCCCCGTCGGTCAATTCGTCATCCCACGCCGACTCAGCCCGGGCGATGAGGGCGTCTATGAACTATCCACTGCGCTGGAGTATAGTTCTATGAAGGGCATCGCAGGTGTGACGTTTCCTCGTTCGTCACTCACCGACTGACCATGTCATCTTTCCAGTCGGAACAAAGCTCATTGAAGACTGGGCTCAAACCGTGCATAAGCCCGCTAGGTGAGTTATCTCCTACGTCGCGGAACAGACGAGGCCGATATCTCTTCAGCGAGGACTGGACAACTCTGATCAACGTCGGATCGTCGGCCGCTTGGAGCTCTTGTCTGACAATCCTGCTCAACCCAGGCGAATTCTTCCTTACAGGTGATGTTTCTCCACGGAGTATTGGTGGGGTTCACTGACGAATCTACTCAAGACCGTTTTGCGTACAGTGAGACCGATGCATAATGCAAGAGGCCATCTGACGCTCGCTAGATGGCGCACTCATTTTGGGTCGTTCCCGAGGTTTCGAGGCTGTGGCCGTGTCCACCGATATAGACGGCCTGTCCGCTGTTGACTTGGAGCACGTTCTCGCCAACTGGGACGAGAAACGTGGAAAGCGGTTGGCAACCTCTTCTTCCGCAGAACCGACTGTATCTGACTCCCGTGGTAGACCGCGTGTCATCTACACACAGGGCGGAATCCATAATCCTTTGGGCTTGGTGCGCTTGCCTGCAGCTGCTCGGGATGTTAACTGACAGCCCCAGCTCATCTCGGCCCAACGCAAGAAAGATGTCAGTGACAAGCTCATGCTGACCTCGCCTCACTTCGCTGATCTTAAGCTCAGATCTACGACGTAATGGTCCGCTACGATCTGATTCTTGTCGAGGACGACCCATACTATTTCCAACAAGCTGCGGCCCCCTACAGTCGAGGGAAGCCTATTGAAAAGCCGACTCTCTCCGATGAGGAGTGGCTGGACAATCTCATTCCGAGTTTCCTTCGCTATGATTACCAAGGGCGAGTGATTCGGCTTGATACATTCTCCAAGGTGAGAATCCCTGAAGCTTACATAACATCCTTTCTGATTGGTTGATCAGTCTATTGGACCCGGTGGCCGACTTGGATTCTACACCGGATCACCGATTTTCCTCGACAAGCTGACCAGTCTGCATCAGACATTCATATCTTTCCCATCTGGTCTATCGCAAGCAGTTTGTGCACTTCCTCAGCCTTGTCGTTGTTCTGATGTGTGCGTAGATCTACTTGGGAACCGTCCATCAATACGGTCAACAAGGGTTTACTCGTTGGATCCGTGGACTGACTGCTCAGTATGAGTTGAGACGTAAGTTCCTGTGTTAAGCGACGCACACGTGTAGCTCATGCAGAATCACAGGCAAGTGGACAATCGATGCGCTCTACGATTCTTTAGATATCCACACCCAGGGCTCTTATTTCATCGCATCAGCCCCGAGCCAAGGAGTCATGACTGAGAAATCCCGAAAGACGACTTTGCTGAGCTTCGTGCCACCCGAGTACGTTCTCTGTCCGACTCATGGGTCTTGTAATCATTCTTTCAGTGGTGGAATGTTCGTATGGCTCAACATCCACTTGCACAATCATCCTCGGTACGATGCATTGTCGCGAAACACGTCGCCCTCGAAGGCCAAGGAGATTTTATCTGCTGAGCTGTCGAGCGCCATTCTTCGTGGGGGTGTAACTATGCGTGCTGGCGAGTTGTTTGCCGTCGCCGATCCAGAAGGACACAGCGGCTCCGGAGAAGAGAGCATGTTCCTGCGCGCCAGTTTCAGTAGTGGTCCCCAGGAAGACATCGTGAAGGGAATGCACATCTTCGCCCGTGTGCTCGTCCAGTTCTTCGATAGTCATTGACACACAGCATCTGATTAGATTAGATTGTGACGTAATGCAATGTACCCTTTTAGTTGATGTCAGCACTGAGTCCTGACCAACGTTCCGCTTACGACTTCTACAACGCTCTGACGGCGCCAGCTCACTGCCTTCATGTCTGCCTTAGAACACGATGATCTGGGCAGTGGGAACCTAGATGACCCTCGCTCTCAACTCGATAAAACCATCGACCGAATCGGAATGGGGCGTTACCAATGGGCATTGTTATTCCTCTGCGGGTTCGGTGCGCCTCCTGTTCCATAGTGCGGTAACTGCGCGAACTTGACGATGAACCCTGTCTACAGGTTGGCTGGCAGATAACGTACGGTTTTCTTGCTACCTGCATTCCGTCTCGATTCCGCTCATAGCGCTCGGAAGATGTGGCTGCAGGCGATAGCCATCGTTCTGCCCCGTGTGCAGGCGCATTACTCTGTCCCAGACGCATACATAGGGCTCACCTCCTCCGTGATGTTTGCTGGGATGATGCTCGGCGCGGTCGGATGGGGTAGCTGTAGTGATCTATGGGGCCGGAGCGTTGCTTTCAACGGGACACTCTTCTTCACCGCTGTGTTTGGCATCGGTGCAGCGTTCACGACGAGCTACACGGGGCTCGCTGTAGTCTTGTTCTTCCTGGGCAGTGCCATTGGAGTAAGTGCCTCGAGTCCTGGAAACGCTCCGATTACGTGAACTGACGCGTAGACGTTCCCTTTCCCGTCCTGACTATCTGGCAGGGTTCAATGCCGACCGATGGCACCATCATCCTCGAACATATGCCACAGCAGAAAATGCATCTCGTCACATCATTATCTATCTTCTTCTCGGCCGGCTCAGTCGTTGCCGCTGCGATTGCCCTTCTTGTCGTTCCGCAGAATTCCTGTTCTGTCGCCGCATCCGTCTGCGATCCCACGCTCAATAACGGGTGGAAATATCTGCTCGCTGCGATGGGTGTCTTGGTTTGTTCTCGTATGTGGAGTATACTGCGCTTGCTCACCATCTGCATCTAGACCTTGGTCATGTTCATCGGCCGCATACTTCTTTTCCGATTGCACGAGAGTCCACGTTATCTTGTGCACGCAGGGCGGCCCTCGGAAGCACTCGAAGCACTACAAATGATCGCCCTCTACAACGGGTCTTCAAACCTCGCAGGCGATCTCAAGTTGGAAAACGTTGAGGATCTCTCAGTCCAGTCTTCTGATTCGGCTCCAACTATACGCAATGGAGGATACGAACCAATTCCAGATGACATAGATTTCGCAGAAAGCGGGAAAGATGCTGAGGGCAATTGGATCCAAAGATGGATTTCAAGAGTCAAGCTCGTTTTGACCCCTCAGTGGCGACGCACGTCTCTCTTAGTTTGGGGAGCGTGGTGTGGAATGTCTTTAGGTGTGTAAAGGATGATTTATCGGTCCAATTGCTCTAATGTCACACCTGTAGCGTACACGATGTTCAACGTTTTCCTTCCAAAGCTTCTGGAAACATCCAAAGCGCAGACCATTAGAGGAACCCTGACTGATGTGCTAATTTATACCATTGGGGGATGTCCAGGGGCTTTCGCAAGTGATCCACATTTGCCAAATCGACGATCCAACTTATCTTTCCCAGCTTGGCGCGCGACTGATCTTGACATCTCTAGGTCGCCGGTGGTCTCTGGCAGGAAGCACGCTCGTGACAGCCGGATTCTGCATTCTTTTCGTGTTTGGTCAGAAACTCGAGATTGGAATCCTCACACAACTCAGCACTATCGGTGTCGGACTGGCAAGCACAGTGAGTCAAACAATCGCGGTAACTTCTTCTGCTTCACCTCATTTCGTAGACGATGTGGGCCGTTCTATACGGGTGCGTCGGCATCTTGTTTGACTGAGATTGAATCTGACTTTCATAGCTGGACCCCAGAGATATTTTCGGTCAAAGGTGAGGGTCAGTTCCTACCGGTTCACCTGGAGTTCATCAGACATATACAGTCCGAGGAACTGCTTGTGGCATCGCATCTGCGCTCTCTAGAATGTATGTCACGATTTGGCACAACATATCGCGTTGCTGATTTGCATGGCAGTGGTGGCATAACAGCTCCAATGCTGGGTGGTTTCCTGCTGCTAGTTAGCCGTGCAGCTCCAGTATACGCAAGCATGGTCGTTTTCGTCTTGGCGGCGACCTGTGTGTTGATGTTGAACGAAGAGGAGGGCGAGAGCAAACGAAAGACTAGGCAACCGCAGCAAAGCGCATTCCCGTAGATTGTATCGTAATACGTCATGTAGCCCTACTTACTCCCCATACTTACTTGCCCTTGGAGGCATTCCTGCGGCTTTTCCCCAAACGCTTTGGCCCACCGCCGCTTTTGCCGCCCTTGCCAAATCCTGCCTTGCCTCCTTTCCCAAATGCAGGCTTGCCCCCTTTTCCGCCACCGCTTACGAACGAATCAGTCGATGCCCGCGTGTTGGATTTGGAGTGTTTCCCCCCGCCTCCGAATCCAAACTTCTTATTTCGAGCATCACGACCAATTCCTTTCTTGTTCTTGTCTGACGGGCCAGCGCCTGATCGGCCGCGTTTGGCGGGCCGGTCAGCTATAGCGTCCTCGACCGCAACATCGAAGCCATCGTCATCTCCTGAGGGACGGTCTAGCATGTCTCCCCGTTCTGAAAGCCGGCGTTCAACGATGCGCTGAAGAAGCAGAACATGAAGACTCACTTCTCTTCAGTCCCTTCACTCGCTCTTCCATCTCCTTACGGCCACGTTCACGTTCCTTGAGCTTCTCAACCTGAACTGCCTTGCCAAACTTCTTGCCCTCGCGCTCTCTTCTGGCCTGCTCACTCTTCTGAATGCCTGCTCGTTCGTCGAGTAATCTACGTCGGATACGCTCCATGTGTGAGTCGGATTTCACCATCTCGGCAAAGTAGTCGGCGGGTCGCGTCCATTCGAGAGAGTGTTTGGAGGCAAGGATGCGGGCGGTAGCTACCGAGTCCAGAGCTTGTTGGTAGCTATGGGTGATATTAGCAGGGAAAGTGGATCAATGGCAAGGTGACTTGCAATGCCAGTTCGCGTTTGAGGTCGTCGTCGACATCAACCTCAATAGTTTTGGGGTGCGAGACGACGAGAGTTTCCGTCCATGACATGGATGGATCCAGTTTTATTGTGTCCCGTATCCGCTCGAGAGCGACCTGGGAGGCGTAGCTATCAGATTGGTACGATAGAGGGAAAGGGTCGGACACTCACTGTGTTGTTGATCTCTAGTTTTTGTCGGGGGACAGCGTCAGCGTCGACGGACTCCGCATCATCCAAGGCGATATCCGCATCTTCGTCAACAGCACCCTCCATATCGACATCCTGATTCTGGGCTGCGTGGGCCGCATCGTCCTCCGAAGCATCTGCGCTGGATTCGCCTTGCTCTTCATCCCCGTCCTCCTCCTCCCCGGATTCGCTGTCTTCGTCGCCTGTCAGAGCACGAAGCTCCATATGTGCCATATCATCCAGCCCGTCGTCTCCCAGCGCTTTCATGAGCCGTGCCATGCCTTCTTCGTCGATTCCATCATCCTCATCCTCATCCTCACTGCCTGAGTCGGACGAATCATCCGCTCCCTCATCAACCCAATCTTCATCATCCTCGTCCTCATCGTCCTCTTCATCTTCGTGCTGAACTTGAGAAGGAGGAGGAGCGAGTTTGGGTTCGGGCTCCTTGCCTTTACCAGCTTTCTTTTTTGACTTTTCGGAAGGGGCAATCGAGGCAGATTTTGATGGCCCCGCCGCGGGTGCGGTAGCCACGAGAGTGTGATTTTGGGGACCTCTGCCCTTGCCCTTCTGTTTAGTAGCCTTGGACGGCTTGCTGGGAGTCGACATGGGTGCGGGGATCGCGAGACGAGGAAATTTTGAGACGATCACATGAGCCACTGATGCGCTTGATTCTCGTCACGAGGATCGAGATATTGTCACTGAGCGCTTGAACGCCGAGCAACGGCAAAAGTGACAAGTGTACAAATCGACCGCCTATGTGTATGGTGCGTGAATGTCCTTCACATGGCGCGAAATGTGATAGAGAGTATATGTGCAAAAGATAATGATGTAAGTGAATGGCATGCGTGTGTAATCGGAAACCTCGAGAGAAACCCATAAAACCCAGCGAAACTTCCCGGAACTGCATCGGGCCAAGCAGAAAAGAAAAGAAAAAATGACCGGGGAGTCTCAGTCCAGCTTTTCGTGTGCTGCGCCTGCTCGTGGAGGCGGTAACTCGCTCGTGGGACTCAATGTCAGTTCTTCTTCCATCCCGATTCCTGGGCTGTCACTTGCACTGCGTCGCTGTGAGATATCGACATCGTTTCCCGGGATGACAGACCCAGTTGGAGCACTCCCCGATCTGAGACTAAGCTTCCTCTTCAGTGAACCAAGCCCAAGCGTCCACCGCTGCTTTCGCTTGACCAAAGCAGGTGGAACCGGAGGATCCACGGTCCGCATTTTCGGGTGTGTCGGCGAATAACTCGGCAAATGTAGTTCCGGGGGTGAGGGGAAAGAAGCAGGAAAATGCTTCAGGGACGGTGGTGTGTTCAGAGACAACTGAGAAGTGGGACCTGACACAGCTGAACTTGGGGACGCCAATGGTGCTGGTGACCCGAGGCCTGCTTCTGGAGAGCCCGTGACTGAAGGCCGGTCTGGAAAAGGATATTCGAAGCGCCCGGCGTATGCATCGGAGAAGGGAGTCCCAACGATGCCGGAGGAGGGTGAATGGAACGATATGTCGGCCAGACTAATCAACGGGGACATCGAATCCGTTGTATTGATTGGCGCGACGGCAGAAGAAGTAGAAATGGAGTCTGAGCTTGCCTAATGAAGATGCAGAGAAAGGTAGGGCAAGTGAAAGAAAGAAGGACGCACCTCCACAGCGTGTGTACCTTCCTCATCCTGCTTGACCTCAGGTTCCATGACGTTGTTGATAGCTTCATCGGTCACAGCTGGATCACCTGGACCATCCACAGACTCCACCTTCCCATCCTGAGGGCTGGGAGGGTCGGCATCTGTTGGAGGCATCAATGGCGATCCGGACTGAAAAAACTGCAATGCCGCGCCCTGACGCGGCAGCAAGTGCTCGCAAACGCGTTTTGATTGTAAGGTCACATCGATTGATGGTCATGGTCGCGTGACGAGCACACTCTGCTTCGCCTTGAGCAAAGCCTGAAGCAATCTGGGCGAATGCGAATCAAGGACAGACGACGCTTTGTAACGCGTCTTCTCCATCGGAAGATCTGGTAAAGAACCTTGGGATTGTTCACGCGAAATCTTGTCCGCAACATCCGCAAGCGGAAAGGCGCACTCCTGCTTGTGAGCAGGCTGGACACCAATGCTGCTACCCAGTTCCTCGCCATGTCGGAGCGCTCGAAGTAGATAGGGCCAACCACGGGATATTTTCGGCAAGAGACGCGACGCAAGACCAAAAAGAGTTGTGCGGAAGAATCGAGATGACGCGATTGAACCAATTTTGAACGTCCTCAGGTAGTCTCGCGAAGGAACGGTGGCTGACGACGAAGCCTGCGGAGATATATAGCGGAGGTTCGGAGGACAAGAATAAGAGACATTGCCACTGACGTCATCCTTCCAGAAACCCGTGATCGTGTATCGGACGTTGACTTTGCTCGACTCTCGTTCCTTACCAGTTCGCCTCTTTCGTTTGAAACCATCGGGCTAGAGCCACGGGCCGCGAATTGACCCTTGCTCGTAGATGCATTTGCTCGCGATCATCAATCCTTCTGCACGGCTACTTGGCAGATTGTTGAGATCTTGTTCAAACTTGTCAGTCCTGATCCACCACCTCGTCCTCCTTGCACTATTGGCCATCGGAAACGGTCCGCGAGCCCTGACGATATCGTTGGAGTGGGCAGTAAAGTTCCAATTATTCAGTCGGCGCTTGCAAGCATGATATATTTTTACAGATCTCGTGTCTCTGGTCGCTTTCGGTTGCCATCCGTGTGGTCGTCTTATGTCGACAGATGTCGACCTCATCATAACCGTATGGATATGATCGCGAAACCCTTTTCTCCGCGACATCACCGGGCGGCAGCGCATGGTTCGATCGCCTGGGCTGGGTGCCAACCCTGGTTCAATGTCGTGCCGATTGCTCATGAGGATTAGACGAGAATTGCAGCCGCGGAACACCGTCGATCAGCATGCATTCCAGTGCGCCGCGGGCCTCTCTCTGGCCACAAGACTCTCATGAGCGACCCAGTCTTGGCCTCGTGCGTGGCCCGACTGCAAATAGCGCCATCCCTATCTCCGAGCATGTGGCTTCCCCAGTGTACAGCAGCGGCGGGCCGATGCAGTTGGTAAGCGGAGCAGCGAGGCACTGCATACTCGCTGTCTGTTCCACACGATGCTGGGTTTGAATTGGTTCAGTAAGCAACGCTTCTGTTGGACTTGGCGACGACTATTCTCCGTGACTTGGCTATCCCCATCTAAAGGATGGAAAACCTCGCACTCGAGATCTTCGCTGGTGTGCTCCTGTGTGGTTTGTAGTGTGACCGCGTAGCTCCATCGGAAGCGGACTTCGTACCATCAACATCCATTATCATCAGCGACGGGCGCCGACGTCCTACATGCGAGTTCTCCAGTGCTGACACTTGACTCTTAGTGGGGTTCGGAGCGTTTCCGGACCATCCGCTAATTCTACCACGTGGTTGTCGGAAGATGAACAACTTCTGCTCCCATTCCTCCTTCTCCAGTCATTTTTGCGTCTCGCACCAAGTTTTGAGACTCGCTGCCTTTGCTCTTGGCCTCGGACTTATCGCACAAGAGTCGCAATAGGCATCACGGATGCCGACATCTCGGCGGGATTTGCATCAAGAAAATATCCATAAAAAGGCATTTCCCGGTGTGTCCCTCCACTGCCCGACTTCTGTCGGTAATTTTGGGTGGGTATGCATAATGTCAGCGGGGGATTATCGATCAACAGCGGTTAAAATTGACAGCAGTCATCGGAACATGCCCCAATGTGCGTCTGAATGGCAAACTGAGCTCTTAAGTCCGTTGAAACGAGATGAGTGTGTTCGCTGTGTCTCCTGTTCGGTCACCGTGGGAACTGGAGTCATAGGATCGGCTCCACCGCCAGCCTGGTGACCGGCCGACCCCGACGTTCTTGTTTTCGTTTCCGAGTTCTCCAGGTTTCGTCTTACCAGCCCAGGGTGACTCGAAATGTACCACTCGTATAATTAGATTCTACAAGCTTCAATATCGACTTCCATTTTGCGTCATTCGGTTATAAAGGCTCGAGAACGCCATGTCGTGACTCGTCCGGGTTTGGCCTGATCATTCGGAAGACGGTCACGTGCATGTCGTCGAGAATCTGGCAAATCTCAATCATCACTTTTGCGGCAAGTTTTTACACGAGATCGCCAGATGTCACATTGGGGAGCATTACAGATCATGGCACAAACTGTCTTCATGATCCTGTCTTGCTTCTTTCATGGGCCGAAGGGTCGAAGCATTGAAAAAAATTGTCTCTAAGCCGACGAACTGTATCAAGAAGTTCCAGCCCTTTCCAGCCGCTTGTATTCAGCTGTTCTGAGTAGCGACTGGTTCGGGCCTGGTCGGAGGGTCTTCTGCACGTCGCATCGCATCGACCGACCAGGGTTGGACGGATGGCCACGGGTCCCGGGCCTGACAACAGTGCATCGGATCTGGAGACTGCTTCCATAACTCCGACCCCACATGCTCGTCTGCCAGTCGGATCCTCGAGGACAAAAAAATTCCCCGATCAAGGGCTCTGAGTGAGGACGGCCGCTGGTGTCGGGCGGGCGGGCACCAAGCCAGTGTACGGCCACGTGACACTACGTAATCCTGCTTTAACTGCAACCAAAGCGCCGCAAAGAAGCGCTAGAGGTTTTCTCTGCTTACAGATGGCAGTCTGGTCCTAGATCGACATCATATGCTTTTTGGACATCGTTGTAAGCTGACATGCCAACATTGGAAACGATTTCCCAGCTCGCTTAACTCAACTAGAAAGCGTCGGCTCCGCCGACATTCTGCCTTGCTATTTGATATCAAAATTAATTCTAATTTTTTCTTTGATACGGGCAACTACGACGGGTCGAACTCGAGACCGACAGAAAAACACGGAGAGGAACGGAACAGCGGGGGAAGCCGGGTCCGACGAAATCGAGCCAATTATGAGGGTGGAGAAGCCTTGACAAGCAAGGCAATGTCAGTCGAGATTCGATCGGTATGGCCGTGCGGGCCCAACGCACGCAACCCCAGCTTCCTCGGGCGGGCGGAAGATCTTGTCGGCGGTTTCTCTTGCCACCGGCTCGGTTCAATTCCCCCCAGTCCATGTGGCACTGTATGTAGCAAGGGTATAAAAGCCATCGGGAGGAAGGGTGACTCTACCCTGAACAGCTGAAATGGCCGCAAAAGCTCTCTTCTTCCTCCCGCTGGGAATCGCATTGGCGTCGTCGACTCTCCCACCGTACACCGTCGGTATTTCGCTCTCGCGATGCTCAACGACTCACGACTGCCTCAGGATGGAGCCGGACATGACGTCTCATCTCCGTACGATTACCAGCGAGCTGGTGGGTAGTGACGGTTGTGGCCCGTGTTCTGTCAGCTGAATTCATCTCTAGGACCGGTTCGTGCTTCTCGATGGGCCGCGTCTCTTTTCCTGAGCGTCGACAGAATGGGCCGCTTTTGATGCAAGACTTCCATCTCGTCGACGCGTTGACCCACTTTGAGCGCGAGCGTATCCCGGAACGGGTGAACCACATTTTTTACAGTCGTCGACTATCTCCACTGACGGTCAATCACAGGTTGTTCACGCAAAGGGCAGCGGCGCCCATGGATACTTCGAGGTCACCCGGGACATCCAGAACGTGCGTGATTGACTCGCCTCAACGCTAATCTACGACTGACAGGCGATCTAGCTGACGATGGCTGCGCCGTTCTCCGACGGGGTCGGCACCAAGGTTCCTCTGACGATGCGCTTTTCTACCGTCGCGGGCGAAATGGGCTCCCCTGATACGAATCGGGATCCTCGAGGGCAAGTCCGCCGATTGACATGATCCGTCCATCAACTGACATCTTGCTGTGTAGCTTCGCCATCAAGATGCGCACCTCCAAGGGTATCTGGGATTGGGGTGAGAGCCACTGCATGGCGTAAAAGCGCGGTGTTTGATCGAAAACTTCGCAGTGTTTAACAACACCCCGGTCTTTTTCCTGCGGGATCCGACCAAGTACCTAATTTTACTTCGCTCTTGATGGGACCTGACTGACCACACTATCTAGATTCCCCTTGTTCATTCACAGGTACCTTCCGACCGACTAGCCAATCCACGTCCCTTGCTGATCCGTTCCAGTCAAAAACGGGACCCGCGTACCAACCTGCGGGATCCCACTCTGCAATGGGACTACTGGTCGACCAACCAGGAATCGCTCCATCAAGTTATGATCCTCCTCTCCGACCGCGGCAGTGAGTCATTCGCCGGCAGTCAGATCGTAGTTGACCCTCAACCTTTCCCATTTAGCACCGAGATCGTGGACTGAGGTTAGTCGTTCGCACCATTGACCCAGTCAGCGCGTGACACAGGCGGCACAGATGCACGGATGGAGCGGACACACCTACAAATGGGTGACTGCTAGCGGGTCGTGGCACTATGTCAAGGTCAAGATTATCACGCAGCAAGGCCTGAACAACCTGAACGCGACCGAGGCGTTGGCTCTGGCAGCGAGCAACCCCGACCACAACACACAGGACTTGATGTGCGACTTTCTGCGCTACTGCTCCGTGATGTGTTGTGCTGAGACTTGAGCGGCTTCCAGGGAACGGATCGCCGCTGGAAAGTTCCCGACCTGGACGGTTGCCGTCCAGACGATGACAGCTGCCCAGGCAAAGGCTTTCAAGTACGATGTGGTAAGTGCGCTTTGCAGCGCCTCTAAAAACGATTCTGACCGCATCCAGAACGACCTCACCAAAAGCTGGCCCGAAGACCAGTACCCTCTCCTCGAAGTGGGCAAGATCGTGCTTAACAAGAACCCGGAAAACTGGTAAGGTGTTATTAGCAGTGACTCGGCAACCCGTTCTCATCTCCGCCTAGGTTTGCTGAGATCGAACAACGTAAGCTGCCTAGCCTGTGTGAAACCCTGTGTCCAAATGACCGACACCTTCACCAGTGGCTTTCTCGCCCGCACATATGCCATTCGGGGTGCGGCCGTTTCGCGCTAACCCTCATTATGCGGGGATGCTGACCGTCAATTAGGCTGAACCGTCTAACGACCCTGTCCTGCAAGCCCGCATGTTTGCGTAGGCACTCTTTCCATGACTCCGTGAATGGTGTGCCTGATGACTGTTGCAGCTACTCGGACGCCGCCCGCCACCGCCTCGGCCCCAACAACCTGCAGATCCCGGTCAACTGCCCCATGCAAGTGCAGAACTTCCAGCGATCGGGCTTCATGCACGTCGACCCTGGTGCCGGGACTCTCCCCGCCGGATCGCCGAACTACCCGTCGACGTACGCCCCGCCTGTGTCCTACCCCGCTCGCCCGTACAACCTGTCCGCTATCGCCGATCCGCTGGATGGGACTGTGACGCTGGGCTCGTTCAAGATGACTATGGCTGAGTACGAGCAGCCCAGAGCAGTTTACAACGATGTCAGTCCTTGCGCGTCTCAGATATTGGTCGATACACGTGACTGACAACCCACTAGGATTTCAGCCAGGCCGAACGGGACTCGCTGGTCACCAATGTCATCAACGCCCTGAACGCAGTCACTGTTCCGGCTGTGCGACAAGTAAGTGCCTGATCTATGCCACGCATCGCACCGACTGATCTGTCTCGCAGCGCTCTGTCGACATGTTCGCCTGTGTAAGCTTCAGTCTAGAAGCACTACCACGCTCTAATAGGCGCTAACCTTTCCCGCAGGTTGATGCCACTCTAGGCAACAAGATCGGCCAAGGGGTCCACATGACAGTTTCCTCGCCTCTCAAGTGCGCGCAATGATAGTCTATTTATTAGTCTGTGTGTATTACAAATCGGGTCTCTTAATGCATTCAATTTAATGGCGTTCTACTGCATTTTCCTTTCCTACACCCACGAGCTTCCCACCGGGCAATTTGACACGGAATACACCAGTATTTGGCTTGGCAAAAGCGCTCCGGGGACGGAAACCATTTGCAGCATTGAGATCGGGGCTGAGAATGAGGTTTTGCGTCTTGGAAGCGAACACGATCCGCGGTTTCACTCCTTCGCGCTTGTGCGGTGGTACATACACTGCACACCCGAGGGAAGGGCTGATGTCTGCTGTCGTGCAGAGCGCTGCAGCGCTGGCCAATCCAAAGTCCGGCGATACTACAGTGGGAACTGCTGCTGGTGCGAGGGCCGGTACCGCATCTTCGCACAGAATATCGTTGTTCGAAGTCGTTATGGCTAAAGTTCCAACAGATGCGAGACAGGGCGGCAGATAGTCTGGCGAGAGTTCATCAGGAGAGACCGTTGACGCGACCCGCAAGGGTGTGGCGGATGGGTCGCTGGGTAGAGCAAGAGCACGGGCGTCATCCTTGCACAACATCTCGGCGCCCACTGTCGTCGTGACGGCTTTGCAGTAGGCTGTGACACTGGCCGGCATATAGTCTGATGACAGTCTGTCGGACGAGCTCATGGGCGCGACCGGCATGCGTGTGCTGCACAAGATTCCGGAAGCCTCATCGGGAGAGGCTGCAGTACGCGAGACCTTCACTCGGCGCACGGAATCGCGACGCGTGGCGACAAGAACTTGAGTGGAGACCGGGATTGACTTGCTCCCATCGATCTCGTTGCGTATAGACCGGTACATCGCGAGACCCCTAGCGATGAACACAATCGCACAAAAGGCAGCCAGATGGTTCAGCACTACTTGCGACGTCGCCAGTGCTGCAGAGCCACTATTTACTTCGACGACAAGCGGAAGAACAGGGTCTGGTTCGTAGGCAAGCGGAGACATGGCAGATAGTAGAGATAGCGGGAAGCAAGTGTCGGGGGGTAGCGTTGCAGGCACCATGATGTCGGGAATCGCACTGGGCGATACAAAAAGCACCGTCTCTTCATGGCGGGCCATTCCTTGGAAAGCAATTAAATGAGCAGAGAGCGTGCCTCTCAACTGGCATTCGCGGACCTTCAGAGGCAAGTGAGCCGAGCCGAGCGAGCGTCGCAGTGGCGTGTTTCAACACAGCGGGCGCTGCAGAGCGAGCGAGTCCGCCCAAAATGACTTGCGGAACATGATACCGTCTGAGGAAACGAACGTAAGGAGAAAGCATAGACATGGTGGTACTGGGGACAATCCAGTCAGAGTAAGCCAGTTCCAGCGTGTATGCAGATGATGATCGATCACATGCATTTGATGGTCAGGGACTGGTGCACCCTTTGGCAGGCGCACTCCAGCAGTGCGTAGATACTTAGACGGGAATTCAGGTCGAATGGGCAGTGGATCGAGTTGAGCACATGATAAGATTAGATAGTAATGTAGGTATGTGTGCAACAGTGTACAATCAATCACCAAATCGCAGAGGGAACCACAGGACTCGGAACAATAGCCCGATGAAGAGGAGCCTCAATGTCGTCCAAGACCCATTCCCGCCGAAGACGCTTGAAAATTTCCTTAAAAGTATCCACCGACCCTTTCTCGTGCACAAGGACGAGACTGACACCCTCGCTCGAGCCTGGACACCGCTGCACCTCGACCCTGAACTTGACCGCCTTGACAACGGTCATAACACCGGCAGGATCCCGGAATTCGTCGAATCGGCATCTCAGAACACTACCTCCATCCGCATCCTCGAGCACCACGCGGACATCCATGCCCATTAGCACACGCCGACATTCATTCTTCGTCACATGGAACTCATGCACTGATTCCAGAGAACACGTGACAGGCTTGAATTTGAAGACGTGACCAAACCACGTGCGCTTAGGCGACTGAGAAGCGGGCGAGAGGCACGGAGAGGGCAGCGTGAAAGAAGAACCGGCCTCTGAGAAAGCCGGTGAGAGGGGAGATGCTTTGCGTCTCTTCAGCTTTGATCCGGGCGGAGGATCCAAGATCTGAACTTTCTTCGCCCGCGTCGTTCTCGCCGTATCACTGCGCAGGGACGACCGTTTAGTAACAGCTGCAGAGCCAGCAGCATACATCTGCGCGTTCTCCTTGTCTTCAGCCCGCGTATCGACTGTGAGCCGCGGATGACGCTCCTTCCGATGGAGGCTCAGAGGCCGGGTCGCCAGATTTGCCGGCGTTGGCGGTGGTGCGATGACTGCTTCATTCGGATGAGGAAATTGAGAAAGAACGTCCAGCAAATGATTGGGAGACATTTGGGACGGATCAGGCGATTTGACTTGCAGGGTGTTCAAGTGATTCACAATTTGATGAAAGAAAACTTGCATCTTGTCGTCTTCGAGCTGCGGGACTACGAGCGGAGGGAGGGTCGAAGGACACTGCGCTGAAATGTCGGGTGAAGGCGTCGCCGAATGGAAATTGATGGTGGGCACGAAAGGAGTCAATGAATCGTTGTCTGAGGGACTGTGAGTGGGTCTCGCTGCTCTTCTCGGTGTAGGGGGACCATCACGAGGAGGGAGAGACGATTGTGACGGTCGCATATCAGAGGTGTGTGACGAGCTCTCCAGAACCGCTCGGTGTTTCATCTTTGAGGTCTTCTTCTTCTTGCGTCGAGACACCAGCTCTTCTTCCGCCTGCATATCTTCGAAATGCTGGTTCCGGTAGTTGACAAGCAGATGATAGACACGCTTTTGCCAATTAAGTTCTCCATTTTGCAAACTTGCGACGATGTCAGAATCCGGAACGCCATGCCACAGGGTGCGCAGATTGGCAAAGATGTCGGGGTCGATGGAATCGAGCGAGTCCAGTGGCTGAGAGACGTTATCGAGGGCAGGAACAACCGAGGGAATGACTGTGGGTGCCATTGACGTGTAGAACGGATGTCGAAGAACTTCGACCATCGTGATCCGGTCCTCGACATTCGCCGTCAGCATCTTTCGAATCAAGTCTTGAGCAAGAGGATCGATTCCCGTTGGCATTCGAAATGTTCCAATTTTGACCTTCTCGAGCAGAATTCCCAGATCCGGATCATCGAAAGGTAGTTTACCGGCCAGCAGAGCATGGAGTATCACCCCGCATGACCAGATATCAGCTGCAGAGCCACTGTAGGCTTTCGCGCTGACGATCTCCGGCGCTGCGTAATGAGGGCTACCGCAGGAAGTGCGCAGCATACCGTTAGCTTGCCATGCGGCCATACCAAAGTCAGCGATCTTGACGTTCAGGTTTTCATCTAGGAGGATGTTCTCCGGCTTGAGATCGCGGTGAGCAATGTTGAGTTTGTGACAGTAGTCGATGGCCGCGATGATTTGCTGGAAGTAACGCAAGGCTTCATCCGTAGGTAGCCTTCCTTTCGAGCACAGATATTCGAACAGCTCGCCACCCTGCACGTATTCCAGAATGAGATAGAGTTCCGAGGAGGTCTCCCAAACGTCGTAGAGGCGCATGATGTTGGGATGGTCGATAAGTTTCATCACGACAATCTCGCGCTCGACAGAGAGTTGTGTATGTTCTACCTCCTCGATGAGGTGCTCGAGCGATCGCGTGGAGTCTAAGCACGCCTTCGAGACTATCTTCACCGCCGCATATTGGCCAGTTCTAGAGTTTCGCGCTATGCGAACTCGCCCTGAGCGAGCAGTGATAAGCACTCGCCCATGACAGTCATAGGACAAACCTCACCTGAACTCCCAGTACCGATCGTCCTACCAATCTTCCACAGCCCGATCCTTTTCGGATCCTCGCCGCCGTCGCGCCGCGGAGGCATGCCGGGTTCGGACATAGGGGAGCGGCTCAGCCGTGGAGAACACCTAGAATATGCGATGCAAGACCCGAGTTTCTGGCGCGTAGTAATGTGTAGTGCAAGTAGGATGGCAAAACGGGTGGAATACTCGAGGACGATTCAAGCACGACTGTCACACTGACGCGTACCCACCATCACGTGACTCAAACGCGTGCGCCCACTCAAGTCATTGGCAATGATACTGTGACTGTTTACGGATTCACTTTGTCTCCTTCGACATAAAAACCGATTCCCTTTGACCCAGTGGGCTGAATATCAACGTTCATATCCTCATGGAAGACGTAAAGCAATCCCAAGGCGCCGTTACATATCCCGACCCACCTCAGAACTTTGGGAGCGCCCCATTGAGCATCCTCGTCGCTCTGTTCGAGAGGCTCCAGATCGAGCGGAAACAGGATAGGCGAAAGAGGCTTTTGGCTGGCTGGTTTAACGTACGTGTGACGCACGGATCAGCCATAACACCTACTTCAATTGCTATCAGCACTGGAGAAATGAGAAGGGCAATGACCTGTACCCTGTCCTGCGGTTGATTTTACCACAGGCATGGACACTTTCCATGCGACTCGGACGCAATTCACCTCCCCTCCCGTGTAGAAAGACCGAGAGCGCGCGACATATGGCTTGAAGGAGAAGACTCTGGCACGGACGTATATCAAGCTCATACCATTGAACAAGAATGACAACGACGCTCATCGACTACTGAACTGGAAAAGGCCGACCGAGAGAAATGTGTGCATTTACATGCATCTGAGATAACTTCTGACTGCATAATGTGTGCAGAAATCTTCCGGAGACTTCTCGTCAGTGCTATTCGAAGTTGTCAGCAAGCGGTCCTCGGTCATCGAAGGGTCACTGTCTATAGACGATTTGAATAACCTTTTGGACGAACTTTCTCAAAAGAAGGATTTGTACGCATCCTGGGCCATTATAAAAGCCGTGGCTCACGTACGCGTCTAGTGAAGATTGTGCTCGCACCATGCAGCGAGTCTACAACAGGGCAACGCCGGAGGAGCAGCGCTGGATCGTGCGGATCATTCTCAAAGGTGCGCGGAACCGATGTCGAGATGAGCGATCCATCATCTGCTCCAGACATGGTCATCTCGGTGAAGGAAACGACTGTCTTCTCTGTGTTTCATCCCGACGCACAAGATCTGTATAACACGTGCTCTGACCTCAAGAAAGTGGCCTGGGAATTATGCGATCCTGCTCGTCGACTGGGAGCTGAGGTCCCAACCGTTTTCGTTTCCGTGATAGCTTCTCTGTACTGATCTACTCTCCTTCTAGGACAAAGCAATCCAACTAGCGCATGCATTTGCACCGATGCTGTGCAAGCGACCGACCAAAGCCATCGATGGAACAGTCAAAGAGATGCATGGCTCCGAGTTCTTCATTGAGGAGAAGTTGGACGGCGAACGAATGCAACTCCACATCAACGAGAAACGCGAGTTCTTTTACTGGTCGAGGTACCTCGTTCTTCTTCCTATCTCAACCGCACCGTTTGAGCCAATGACAGGAAAGGAAAGGACTACACCTACCTGTACGGTAATCATGACAAGGAGGGCAGTCTGACCCCTTACATTGCTCGAGCATTCGATTCTCGGATCAAAAAGTAAGCACTCGCAGTGATCCTCGGGTCCGCATTATCTAGGGACTGAAAGTCTGCAGCATCATTCTCGATGGAGAAATGCTTGTCTGGGATCCTGACTCGTCAGCCTATCTTCCCTTTGGCAATCTCAAGACGGCCGCTCTCGGTGAGTGTGTGTTGTCGATGTCGGTGGACCCGCTCATGATTCCGGCTGAAGACACGATTGTGAAAAACAGCAGAGATGACAAGAAGAAGCCTCATCCATGTTGTGAGTCTCATTTCCTCTCGTCGAAGTGCAGCGTTAACTGTTGGCGCATAGTCAAAGTCTTTGATCTATTGTATCTGAATGACCAGTCCCTCATCAGCAAGTCACTCCTCATGCGCAAGAAGAATCTCCGGGCATGTGTTACACCCAACAACCACATCAGTTTTGCCGAGGAGTGTCGCGGAAAGACTGTCCAAGACGTCAAAAACCAAATGAACAAAGTACTCGAAAATCGAGGAGAGGGTCTTGTGATCAAGCATCCTGCTTCTCAGTACGTGTTGAACGGCAGAAATATGGATTGGATCAAAGTCAAACCTGAGTACCTCGACAATTTGGGTGAAACCGTAGACGTGTTGGTGGTCGGTTAGTTGCTTGATGACCGCCCCGCGTCTTGTCACTAATCACGTGCATGTGACAGCTGGTAACTACGGCTCAGGATCCCGAGGCGGCAAAGTTTCCACGCTGGTTTGCGCTCTTGCTGATGATCGAGTGACAAACGGAGAGAGAAAGTGAGTATTGATCTTGGCCTCGATCCATGGCTTATATTCTCCGATTAGGTTCACAACGTTTGTGCGCATCGGCACAGGCCTTACGTACTCGGATTATTTGTGGATCCGGGAAAAGCCTTGGAAACCTTGGGACTCCAAAAATCCGCCCGCATTCCTACAGACTACCAAGAGATCTCGTGAGGATAAGGGCGACGTGTATCTCCTCCCGGAAGAGTAGGCTACCTTCTAGATCTACTTATTGTCTCTTACGAAGCGCAGGTCTTTCATCCTCAAAGTCAAAGCGGCCGAACTGGTGGAATCGGATCAGTATCATTCGGGATTCACCATGAGGTTCCCCAGAGCATTGTCAATCCGACACGATCTCGAGGAAGACGATTGCATGCCTTTTACGGGTAAGCGTTGCGCCTGACTCTGAAAGAGAGCTCATTTGGCCCTCAGCCGTGCGTGACATGCTGGAATCCAAAAATTCCAAGTCTGGGCATAAGAGATTGAATGATGAGCACGAGGAGTCTCTGTGCGTTGGAATGGGCTTGTTAATCACTCGCTCTAGAACTCATACTCTCGCAGCCCAGCCAAGAAAAAGCGGAAGATTACCGCCAAGAAGGTGCCCACAGTCCAATTTTTTATTATGGTTTTGCTCAGACTGCTCGCAGCCTGAAGTCATCGCCGGTTCAACTGGGCAGAAGCTGGATAAAGTTGCTGTGGTGTCGGATCTGTTCGAGGGGACGACTTTTGGTAAACCGCACGGCAATTCTGTTCAAGTCTCCTCTGAAAGCATTGCAAGTCGTCCTTCCTGATCCGAGCTCGAAAAACCAGGACCAGGAGAAGAAAGAACTGTGTGCATTGTGAGCAGGATCGTTTTGCTAGTGTATATTCTCATCTTATGTCGGTGCAGAATCAAAGCACACGGAGGGGTTTTGGCCAATCTCGCGCGACAGCAGTCTCCGATCTTCATTGTGTACGGTGGGTCGAAAAGATGTGGGTCGCCAAGCGTCACATTGCCAGGATCTGACCTCTCAAATACCCTGCAGATCTGGAAATCGTCAACTACATTAAGAAGGGAGTATACGATATTATCAAGCCAGATTGGGTGAAAGACTCCGTTGCACTCGGTGGTTGGGCCCCTCTGCGCAAGAGGTAAGCAAAATACACTGTTTCCTAGCGCGCGTCTGATTGTTGCAGTTATTTCTTCCATGCCACCTCGCTTCGTGCTGAAAGCGATGAATACAACGAGAACAGTGCCAGCGACAATGAATCGCCAGCAGCAGAAAGATTGGAACCTGTCAAGAGCGAAGCGGACGACATTTCGCCTGTCGGTGTCAAGGAGGAGCGAATCGTGGATCCCGCTTTGCTTGATTGGTTCCAAGTTGGGACAACTGACGCTGACGACAAGCATTCAAAGCCTTCCACCGACGACGATTCGGCGACGGACTACGATTCTGACAACGCGGATGTTGCCGACAACGACCCGGATGACGAATGGGATATCAAGTCTGAGCCAGACGAGCAAATACCAGATGAGAAATCTGGTGAAGACGCGTCTTCGACAGTCAAGATAGGCGAGGATGACACAGCCATGCAGTACGACCAGGAGCACATCTTCAAGCACTTGTAGGCTCTTCCTTCCTTGCTGCTGGGTGTTTGAGAATTCTAATTTTCAGGTCATTCTACCTGGATTCCCCGGAAAACGCGAAGCGCAACGGGTTTTCTCTGAAAAGCAAGAATGAAAAGGCTATTCAACAGAGGTTTGACATCTTCCAACGCTCGCTCATTTCCTGTGCTAATGACAAAATAGTTTTGACGAATTGGCGCAGCTGATTGAGGGCAGTGGAGGAAAGATCGTCGACCTGGACGAAGCGCGCCTCACTCATATCGTCATCGACAAACGCGATGACAGCCGCCGAGTGGAATTCATCAGGCGAACGGCACAGTGAGTGTCTCCATCAAGGCAGAATGAGGACAATGGTCTGATGGGCGAAACAGACCCAAACGAAGACGTCTTGTGATTTCAGAATATATACAGGCATGTCTCGACGAAGAAACGCTGCTGGATGAAGAAGGTCAGTTGTCGCTGGCCCACTGCATATCACAGCTCTGACCCCACATCCCAAGAATTCAATCCGTGATCGAGAAGGGATCTGATGCAGGGATGTGATGGATTATCGGAGTTTCAACCCGTTTGGGACCTTGTACAATACCCGCACCAGCTTTTTTACTATCATCTACTGCTCTGTCTACGCCGCTCCAAATCTTGGTATTCTCGCGTCGTTTCACACGTTCTCCACCCCCTCCAACTCTTGTCTGAAACCCACCTCGAAAAAACGGGTTTCGCCCACTAGCGTGTGTCGCGCTCGTCATACGATGGACAACACGCAGGACTCCCCCATTTCTCAACTCTTAAATACCCTGGGTATCACCCGAGAGGATCTCAACCGGCGCAGTGACCAAATGCGGCAATTCCTCACCTCGGAACACGCGACGGGCTCACGCGTCTCAGCCCATGCCTCAACATCCTCGACCTCCTCTGATACTCAACCTCTTTCCCGCACAAGCAGCTCAGCTGTCATCTCCACGCGTCATATCTCGTGTGAGAGCCCCACGTCTCCCCGCGACGCGTCTCCGACCACGTCTGTCACGACGCCGGTCAAATCCGAGCCCGAGGACGACGACGTACTCCCCACACGCCCGTTGGACAACATGGAGATGGTCCTCGAGCGCCAGAGGCTTAGAAGAAGGCAGAAACGCGTGCAAAGACAGGAAAGCGTTGGCCCGTCGACCTCCGACTCGGAACCAATAGCGGGCCCTTCCCATCATGCATCGGATAACCCTGATGAACAGTACGAGCAAACAGGCTTGGATGTACGTGATGTGCGCTCCTTTTCACTATCAGAAGCTCACCAACCTTCCAGCTCCCTCCTATCACACCGTCACGCAGCAAGCACTACCGCGAACACACATCTTACGCGTCTGGGGTGAGCATTGCGCGTCTACTGTGGCTTGCGCCTGAATGTATCCCCTAGCCTATCAAGGAGGAATCACCCTCCCCGACGCGCCCTGCCACTCAACAATCTGGCAAACCAGCGAATGCGTTTCCACACCTTTATGCAGCCCTCATGCAAGGCCAGTTCCAGTTTCGAAGTGCCCCACCCGGGCTTAGCTCCAAGTTCGAGACGCCTCAGAAACCGAGGCCGTCGAAAGCCACTGCAGCAGCCAGCTCCCCCCTTCCGCCTTCTTCGCCGCCCGCAGCTTCGTCTCCGGTCTCGTCGCCAGTGATGCAGCGGGTTTTGAATTATGTATCTTCTCCCGGACTGGGTGATGACTTGGCCGAAGAAGATCGCAAGGAGCCACCATATAAGTTGCCGCCGGGCCCGTATTCCCACCAGCGACCTCACCATTCATACGCTGGCCTGATCGGGCAGGCGATTCTGTCCTCGAGAGAGCATCGTCTGACTCTGCAAGAGATATACGAATGGATCGCGACGGTCCATCCCCATTTCAAACGCGGCGAACGGACGTGGATGAACAGTATCCGGCATGTACTAAGCACAACCATACATTTCCGCAAGATAACACGCGAGCGGTCGGCTGGCCGGTCGCACTGGGCTATATTCGATGAAGATTTAGATTGCTTCGTCGATGGAGGATACAGAAAACCGGGGACTCAGCCCAAACGACTGGGACTGATGCGTCCCAAACCAAGGAAGCGAAGTGCGGAGGAAATGGAAGATGACCAGGGCGCCAATGCGACTGTCGGTGGGCCGATGGTGCCGAGGACAGCGAAGAGGCTGAAGCCGGATGCTCTGTTGGTGACGGATCCCCAGCCGGGTCCATCGAGACCTCCTGGGCTGCTCCCTGCTCTGGTCCATCACAGCGTACATTCGATGCGAACGCCGGTTCAAGCCACACCTCAGCAACAGAGTTACTACGATAGCTGCGTCGTCAACAACACGTTGCCGACATTTGGCGCAGTCCTTCCAGCACTCGCCACACCGTATCGCTTGGTAACAACGAGTACAGTGGCTTCATCGCCGATCCAGCCACCGCCTCCAACATCATCACCTGTGGCGGACAGATCATCGTCGCCGATCTCGCCGTCCTCGCCACCGGATCTCACGCCACAAGTTGGCTCATCGAGTCCCAGTGAGGGAGAGCCTCTGCCAGAGTCGGTCGCTGCAGAGGATGCTGCGTGTGTCGTCACCGAACAAGATGAAGAGGCAGTCGTCGGATCGCTTCTGGGTCCTGTCGAGTTTCTGGATAAACCGCGGGAAATTATACATGCACTACCCACAAGCCAGTTGCTGCAACCCGGGATCAACCTGGACGGTTCGGAGGATGAAGACGAAGTGCCGTTGATGGCGCTTGCCAACAAGGTGGGTTGTGTGTGTTGCGCTTGCAACTATCGTGCTGATCTGTTATGGTTTAGAACTCCTCGTCGTTCCCTCCGTTGGTGCGCCGCAAGACCGCAGCCGCAGCTAGACAGCGGACCAAAGGAAAGAACAAGAAGGGCAAGGCCCGGGTAGTGATCCCTTCGACCCCACCTCGAGCTCGGCGAGCGTTTTCACCTGACCGCAGCCCGCTTTCGAACAAGGGTGCTGCCTCGTCGACGAGTCTTGCGCACTACAAGACTAATCTCGATCCCCCTCCCGTGATCCGTGCTCTCCCAACCTTGAACGACGACGCCGATGACGATGACGACGATGACGACGGCCCCCCAGCGCATCTGAGAACGCCTTCGAGAAAGCCTAATTTGGCTTCGACCGTGACTCCCAAGAGACTCATATTCCCGAGCGATAGCAGTTCTCCGTTCCGAACTCCTGGCGGGCACGGTCTGTTCGGCTTATCGCCATTCCGAACCCCCGGAGGCAGTCGAGGGAACGGCATACTGGATCCTCACGATCCGTCTGCTCTGCTTGACGCGGAGTTGCGCAATTTCAAGAGTCTGGGGCAGGACAGTCCGGCTGGACTGTTTGGCAAAGATAACTTGTACACCAGTCCGAATCCCATCGACGGTAGTCCTGGCAAGTATGCCAGATGGTGGTAGTGCTTTCTCTCCGGGTCCTAGCTTTCGCATCTGCTGTGTTGAGTTTGTTGTATAATAGCTGTGTTTGTCATACTGAATCTCTCCCTTATCTCACGTGAATAAGTACTCGCGAGTTTTGTTTTGTACATTAGCAATAAATGAATGATCTTGAAAAGTCATTTGACAACAGTCAGTCGTTCAAGAGGACAGTGGCTGGGACAGTCCACAATGACTCGAATGACAGTAGATCGGCGCCCCTGACTTTCAATAACTACCTGTAGTGTTGGATTTCACGCATACCTCCGTACCTCTTTCATTGCAGACCAAACTCTCCAGATCAAAGGGCAGTCATAATCATAATGCATGCATGGGCCACAGTTTTTATGCGAGGTAGGACAAGAGAAACCAGCAAGCGCTTCTACTTGAGAGGGATGCTGAGGGAGTACATTAGCATAGTGGCATGAAACACCGAACGTTGAGACGCACAATCGGGAGGCTGAGAAGAGGCCCAAGAGTATTAGTGAACTGGACCAAAAGCTTATTTAAAAACCACTCACAGTGTGTGGCACCGATCTAGAATCCATTCAGTATCATGTTCGCGTGACATGGACGCAGATGGACTCACACCAGGGCGACCGTGCTTGACGGGCCTGTACGAGCACGAGAACTCCGCGAGGTAGTGACCGGTCATCTCAGGCTTGATCTCGACGTTGTTAAAGACCTGCAAAAGATCGGTCCCATAGCCTCACACCACCGAGCCTCCCACACACCTTTCCGTTGTAGATACCGACAACGCTGCCAATCATCTCGGGAACGATAATCATGTCACGGAGGTGTGTCTTCACAGCGGTGGGCTTCTCATTTGGCGGGGCCTCCGTCTTGGCTTTGCGCAGCTTTTTTATCAGGCCCATGGGGCGGCGCTTGAGACCGCGCTGGAACCGACGACGGGCACGAGCGTGCACGAGCTTTCGAGTCGAGTTGGATCAGCATAATCGTTCTGAATTCAAACGCGGCAAATACACACATCAACGAACTGGCAAAGAAAATGAGTATAACGCAGGAGTAAGGAGTGTTGGAGACGCACATCTTCGTTGTTCATGTCCAGGAGCTTCTCCAACTCGACACCACGGTACGAGAAGGTACGGAAAGTACGCTTCTTCTTGAGCTCAGCGGCGAGAGCGGGGTCGGTGACAGAGGAATCAGCCTGCAAGAAGCATGGTCAACGAGAGTCCCAACGAAACACAGAGGGACATGGCTTCACCATCTTGACTTGTGTCTTGAGGAATTGCTTGTTTGAGGACGCAAAGGCGGTAAGCAGCTAGGCAGATGCACGTGAGCTTGATTTAAGCCCACGTGACTGCCCATACGAAGAAATCAGCGGCACCGCTACAGTTTTCCTTCACTCATCCAGGATAGAATCCCCATTTCGTCCCTTCGTGGATTAAACGTCGGTCCTCGCTGTTGTTGCTTACCGCCTTCATCTAACAGGTGGACAGTGATTTGAGGCTACCCTACCTTAACACAAAACCACCCACTCACACTTCGAAAAAGTAGATCGTCGGTGTTTCGGCTATCCACCCACTTATCTCTTCGCAGATGCGTTACATCGCTGCCTACCTCCTCCTCCAGATGGGTGGAAACGAGTCCCCGTCTGCTGCCGACATCAAGGCTCTCCTCTCGTCTGTTGACGTCGACACTGATGAGAGCCGCCTTGAGAAGCTGATCTCTGAGCTCAAGGACAAGTCTATCAACGATGTCCGATTTTTTTCTACCTTATTGAAGTGTTCACGCCCTGACTTGTGCTATAGCTGATCGCCGAGGGTTCGAGCAAGCTCGCGTCGGTATGTGTCAAGGACGATTGCACAAACATTCCACTAACACTTCACAGGTTCCCTCTGGTGGTGCTGGAGGCGCTGCTGCTGCTGCTCCTGCCGCCGGTGGTGCTGCCGCCCCCGCTGCCGAGGAGAAGAAGGAAGAGAAAGAGGAAGAGAAGGTACGACTCCCCATCTTGTTATTTTCTGATCCTGACGGTCTTGCAGGAGGAGTCCGACGACGACATGGGCTTCGGTCTCTTCGATTAAACGCACTTGCATGTACAAGCATCTTGACGGGGCATGTGTTGATGAAATTCTGTTCTGTTGTACAACAGACGATTAAGCGTTTTCTGAAGACGACCTTGAGATGTCTCATCTGGAATACACTTTTCTGATAACGTCGGCACTTATCTCGATGATGTGCTCCAGATTGTTGCGCGCGCGATGTTCATATATCAACAAGTGGATGTGAGCTTCGATTGCAGAGCCCTGAACAAGATATGATTCGCTAGTTGAGGCAGTCGGCTCAGAGAGAGTGAAGTGCACTTAGTGTCTTAATGTTTCAATGCTCGCGAATTCGATGAGATGCAATCATACTTTCCAAGTAGAATACCGAACTGAAGAGACAGGTTCAAGGAGCTTCGTCACGTGCCTGGTTTCGATGATATAGTCTGAGGGCAGCAAAAGGCATCCGCATACATATTTGGGTTTCTACCTATTTCATCATCTCTGCGTGAGAGCTTACAGTGGAGAGATTATATTTCTACACCCCGGGCATGACCGTAGCATCCAGCGGACATGTTACAATCCACTGTCATAGTTGATCCCATCAGTCAAGCAAGAGTACACACCGGAGGAATGCGGACAGAAATTGGTCTCAGTGATTCGTTGTTCACCTCATAGAGTTCAATGCTCGCAGCCCGTACCAACGCGTCGGTGCGCCTTGCCCGTCGCTCGTTTGCGACCGTAGTCGATGCTGCCGGCCTCAAGGTCGCAGCTGTCGATGCCGGCCAGCCCACCGTCTCCATTACTGTCCTCGCAAAAGCTGGTTCTCGCTACCAGACGAAACCTGGTGTCGCCCACGTACTTAAAAATTTCGCCTTCAAGGCACGCCACTGCCATCACCTTTCTCATTATTTGCGATGCTGACTTCTATTGTAGAGCACTGCTGACCGGTCTGCGCTTGGGACAGTCCGTGAGGCTGAGCTTTACGGTGGTGTCCTGTCGTCGACCCTGACGAGAGAACATCTCGCCTTGACCGCCGAGTTCCTCCGTGGCGACGAGTGCGTGCATCTATTTTGTAGTTACATATGCATCTCACATTGTCTAGAGCATTCTTCGTCAAAGTGTTGTCTTCCGCCATCGCGTCCTCGAAATACCTCCGCCACGAACTTCAGGAGCTTGTTCTCCCAGCAGTAGAAAGCGACATCCATGCGCTCCAAACCAACCCGGCGGCTCATGCAGTCGAGCTCGCGCACGCTCTGGCTTTCCGCTCTGGGCTTGGTGCATCTCTCTTCGCTGCCCCTCATACGCCGATAACTGCTCACGACGTTGAGCAATTTGCCGCGACCGCCTTTTCGAAGGACAACATTGCTGTCCTCGGAACGGGTATCTCAGAGTCCGCACTCTCGTCCCTAGTGCAGGCGGCCTTTGCATCGCAATCAGGCTCTGCCACCGCCTCAACACCGTCTGCTTACTTTGGAGGCGAAACTCGCGTGCAAGCCCACGGTGGGGCGCAGACTGTCTTCATTGGATTCGGTGTCGCCGGTGCTCCGACACCAGAGGTTGCTGCGCTGGCCGCATACTTGGATCCTAATCCTACGATCAAATGGGCCAAGAGCTCGTCCCCGATGCTGCAAGTCCCGCACACCACCGTACAATCTGTCTATCTGCCGTACTCTGATGCCGCTCTTGTTGGTGTTATCGTCCAGGGACCTACGGCTGAGGCGACCCGGGAGGCAGCCAAGGCTGTTGCCCAGACTTTCAAATCTGTCAGCTCGATCAAGGCTGAGGACTTGAAGGCTGCTGTGACCAAGGCCAAATTCCGTGCCGCAGCCAGTGTCGACGACCGTGCTGGTCTCGTCGAGATCTTGGGCTCTAAGGTCCTTTCTGGCGCAAGTGCCACCTCAACGGAAGCCACGCTGTCTGCATTTGACTCCGTCAGCAGCGCTTCTTTCTCCAAGGTATGATACACTTCGACTGCTTTGTGCCTTACCTGAGTGAACTTCCAGGTTACCGCCGCCCTGGCCAAGGCGAAGCCCACCTTCGTCGCCATTGGTGACACTGAAGCCCTACCTTATGCAGATGAACTGGGATTGTAGACAGTAGAGTTTGTCCTAAGGTTCCATAATTTCAAGAGGGAATGTCCATTCGAACCAGTGGATTCACAAGATACAGTGAGTGTTAGATGAACGACGAGCAAAGTGAGCATCAAAAGAATGGATGGAGCTACGCACAAAATACCAGATGTACTGCGAAACAGTTCACGAAACGAATTTGAAAAGGGAGACAAAAGGGACTTGCCTCGAGCTGAAAACAATCAAATTACGAGGTTAATATTCGACTGCGTCGTCCCCATCAGCGGGCACTGGCGTCGGCTCCTCCTTCTTTTCCAACTCCTCTTCCGCATCCTTACTCGTCATCGTCGCACTGTCGCGATCGTCGACCTCCATCTCCACGTCCTTCGCTCCTTCTTTCGACGGTGGCTCCTCGTTCTCCTCGGTCTCACTCTTCTTTCGAGCCTCTTCGGAAGCCACGGCCTTGCGCAATTCGGAAATTTCCTCAATGCCAGCGGACCGCTCTTGCAGGAAAGCCGCATATTCAGCGTCTACAGCTTCCAGGACCTGGAGATGAAATGTATGAATACCCTCTTTACACGATCCTACAAGGCAAGGCCGCATACCTGAGCCTTCCTCCGTCGGATGTATGATTCTTGAGCAGGCGTAAGGATCGCAGGAAGGTAGTATAGAGGAGGTGGATGTCCTCGTTGTACTGAGGCCAGCGCCGGTGGTAGAGGTGATGGATCCTCATCAGAGGAGGAGGTGGGTATGATGTCAGATGTAAGAAGAAATTGGCGAGGAGAGGTAAGCGCCCGCGACGGAGCTTGTACTAAACAATGCGAGAGTCAACTCTTGAGAAGTGCATGTGATAACAAGTCAGGACGCACGACAGAATCTTTCAGTTGAAGATCCTCCTCCTTCCGGTTTGCGTTCAGTTTGTCTTTTCGGGCTTCTTCAGCTCGTCTGACGGAGTCAGTCTCTTTGCGCAGCTTAGTCTGTAGTCTTTGATCAATCAGTTGTCGCTTTTTGCCTGGAATCGACGTGTCAGTGGATAAGTAGCAGCAAGTTTCGATCTACGTGCCGCTTCACTCGCACTTCGTTCCTTGTCCTCGATCTTGGCTTGTTGAGGGTCCCCAGCAACAGGCCAAACATACCACCGCGTTTTCGCTTCTGGGTATCCGAGAGGTCGAGTCGCGGGCGTTTCTTGTTTTCCGACGCCCGACGCCGGTCGGGCGAGGTTCGATTCGGAAGACGAGCGACGATTCGGACTCTGCACCTGCGCTCCTGATCCATCGCTGCTGAGCTGCCTATGCGGCGTAAGGGCACTACTTTGGGCACCGGCTGAGAACTTACTCGTCGTGGACATACCAGGCGCTGTTTGGGCTTGTATAGGCGTGATGATTGCAATGTCATCCATCAAATTCAGATGGCCTGGATCTTATCTACACATTTCTCCCTTCAGATTCTATGCCACTCGGCCGGGCTCTTCCCCATGAGCCTTGTACCGGGACCGTGGAATCGTTTTACGTTGATCCTGTGGCTTTGTTCCGATAAACTACAGAGTTTCCGATGCTCAAGATTTACGCTGGAAGTACCGACTGTCAGAGCGGGGATTATTTCAACTTCGATCGACTTTATCCACTATGAAACGGCCAAGCACCATTCATGCGGACTTACCCTGGAGCAACGTTCCCCCCAGCATACGATTTGATTGCAGTGCCAATGCCGCTTCCTTCCCCGTTCTCCAGCCCTAGCCCGAGATCTCCGAGTGTCTTGCCCATATGAAGACACGCCGAATGATATGTCAGGCGAGCAATTCCACCGTCGACTGTTGCAAGAGATGTAAAGATGTCGGAAACATGTGAGTACGGTCGTGAATATCATTGAGCAGATATTGAAGCTCATCAAAGATCTTGCTGGACATACAAGACCGGTCTGCTCTGTCATCCAGGTAGCCCCAGATATTGGCGAACGTGATCGTGAGCAGACTGATTGCGTTCGAGGCCGTAGATGCCCGAAGATTCCCACCGGGCAATCGCGGAAGGGAAACAGTCCCGTCTGGATGGTTCCCGGCACTTACAATCCTTGTCTGCTTCTCTTTCCGCGGCATGCGGCTTTAGGCTTGCGGTGAAACCGTCTCGTAATGTGCAAGTTGTGTGTGTACGCGCGGGTGAGAAGGCGAACGGCATACTAGGCTTATTCATGGTGGCAAAGACGCCTTCAGATACATCTTCTCGGCCTAGACAGCAATATCCCCGGTGATATCCCGTATATGGAATATCGAAGCAGTTGAGATTAGAGATTTGCATAAGAAATGGTGGTGGGCGCCTGATGGATCTACCCAACTCCGATCATCAACCTCAATAGAAGCAACTGGAACACAGCCACCCTCTCCAGCTTTACATATTCTCTATCATCCGCTATGTCGCGGTCTTGCCTCTCTTGTCTCAGTGAACCATCATGCCGGGTAGTCAACCCAACAGTTGCTCTTGGACGATCTCGACTCCTTCCCCGCCCCGCCAACGTTCATACCATCGTCGCCAGCCTTGCTCATGAGCCCCCGCCTTGCAGACCTCCGACCATCCCGCTTCCTCCACTTCCCAGCCGCAGCCGAATATCCGAGACAGACACGCATCTTTTTTGAAATCGGCCGCGCAAGCTCGTCCTCGCCGCCCGCCAGAGCTCTCTATCCGCGAACTCAATCATACGAAGAGAACATCAGTTGCGTCGAGCCGCAGCGACTCCCTTTCGAATTTTCCTTCGACTCAGACTCCCAGCGATGTCCCCGGTGACGCCGAAATCTGTCGCCCAGAATCCTTGTCATTATTCTGCGTCGGGGAGCATAACGAGTCGCGAGAGCAGCTTCTCGGTGCGTTCCCTCTACGAAGAGGATCACAGAGCAGCGTGGAGCATATGCTGGACGATGAGCACTTTCCCGGTATGTCATACTTGCCTTCATTCCCTTGGGAGTGACCACTCACTTCCGTTTCACAGGCCAGCATCGGAAAGATCCGCCTTTGAGCTCGGTATCATTCGCGGACGCGTTATAGCGGGCTGGGAGGAAATTTTCAGCCCCATTCAGACGATTCGGTCGTCTGTCAAGTCAACTATTAGCCAGGACACTCGAGTCCCTCCCCGGACATCAGCTCAATCATCATCGCGACACTCTCGACCCGACTGAACAGTGCGCCTGCGGAGCCACTTCCGATGAGGAAGAATCCTTACAGGATTATGGCCACATGCACAGCCGTATGGACTCCAAGGGGTCAGAGGCTGGTTTCCCCCGACCTGTTGCGGAAGAATTCGATCTCACCTGTTGGGATGAGCGACACGATTCTGATTCTGGCTCGGAGATAGATCTACACACATCCCTTCCGTCCGTATTATCTCTGTCTATCTCTGATGATCCGCTTAATCTGCTTCAGCCAACTAATGCTCCATCACGGAATCTCTCCCCGAGGTCCAAGCTATTGACTCTTCCATCTCCGTTTCATCTTCAGGTGGAGATACTTCCTCCAGCAGTCAACTTCCACAGGACCCGCGCCATACGACAAATCGTAGCACTCGCCATCGGGAGGCGAATGTTCTCCGCGGTGGCATCGGACTCACCACCGGCTCGGATGGAGCGATCTGAAGACGAAGATGCTCCCAGTGCATTGACAAAAAGGTTTCTACATGGATCTTTCGACCAGGAGCTTGAGTCGTCCAAATCGCATGCAAGCCTGGGTTCAGGAGTAGATCGAAAATTCCGTCAGCCCTCTTCGTATTCGACGGGATCTTCGCGTTCAACTCCTACTGATGTCTCACAGAAGCGCCCACGATGAGGTTGGGATCCGTCAGACAACCTTCAGGACATTTCTGGACGCAGAGGTTGTTATACGGGACAAGGGCGATAGACAAGACCGATCTCGGCTTCCACGATACAGCCGTCCGTCCTTGTCAGTGCCTCGAACCGGTGCTCCGAGCTCAGCTCAAGAAAGTCCCAAACTCGGAAATCCGCTCTTGCGCACGAGAAGCGGGGTTAAGGGTCATGGCTGCCGACAGCAGAAGCCTCTTCCCCCGCGCCGACGCGACTGTCTACGAGCAGTCGCAGCGTTTCTTATCCCCCATCCCGGTTTCTTGCGCATCGACTAAACGCGCCGGGCACCTTCTGTCAATGATGTGACTCTGCCTAGGAGAGGGACGTCGCCCTTGACACCCCGACCCGGGATGTCATTCAAACTGCATTGCACAGCGCAGCCAAGCCAAGTCAGGCCGCGCCATCGCCCACTAGATGTTCAAGTAGTCTTTGTTGTATTGTAATTGTCAAATAAGTGTGTTGTTGTACAATGTGATAGAAAATAGTCCTACGCTCGAGTCCATGCCCGGCTCCATTTGGTGATGGGTGAATTTGCCCTTGATCTTCTGC